ATACAGTAAGGATTTATCCAGGATTTCATACTAAGTGCCCTTGCCAGACAATTTGGGGAAAAATATATTATTTCGCTCAAATTGGTCAGTGAAATGCAAGTTTCTTCTACAGATAACTAGCATCAGTTGTTATTACTATATAACATGAATTGAGAAATTTGTAATTCAAATTTGCTGCAGACTTTGGACCAAATATCGGCCCCTGAGGTGGCCTTGATAAATCGCTTTACATAGGCCTACTTAACAAAAATGTGACTTGGAAGCAAGGGATCTGGAGTATTTATTTTGCCTTTCGGATATTTTTATTTTGGTCACACACACCTCATTTTTACGTTTACTGGTGGAGGTTCATGCATGAATAAGATAATAAAAGAATAAAATCAAGGATCACTTTAATAACATATATCATATTTTCTTGGAGTATGGTGTGCACGTTTTTTCCAGAAAACACTCCACAATGAGTTTTGATGTTTTTTCGCCAACGCAGACTAAAGACATTACCAGGAGCATGTAACACAGGAAATACCATGTCAACAATGCCGTACTCATTTGTGCAATTTAATGCTGTTTTTTCACTTTCTGGTTATATGAAGTGTTCATTGTACATATGGACTTATGTTCGTAATCTGTTTTATTAAATTTATTCAAAATTTCATTCAATATTATTTACATTAACTTAGGGAAATCGTGTGTGAAGTGACTCACCTTTATTCCCGGCGACCACGGCCATATTACTGATATTGACAGGGAATGGATACATATTTCATAAATGCCACACTTTGACTCAGTAAAAGTCATATTTGTTTTAGTTTGACTACTACATATTCAACAAAACATTTTCACAAAGGTGACAGGTAAAGTTGTTCTATATGTAAAAAATATCCTGCAAAAGCTATTCCAAAGTGCTTCTCTTTTGGTTATTATTGTTTCAAATGTATAAGGTAAAAACGCAACTAAAATAATACGATATTGATATATATTATTTCTGATAAGATAAGTGTCAAATTCAATTCTTCCAGTCATTGCATCAAATTCATTAATGTTGTATTATTGGGTATATTTTTAACCTAATCACCGGTAGATTGGTAGAAAATGTGTGTATACGTGATTGGTATATCCAGCTTAGTTTACAAGAAAATACACACAGTTTCTGTATTTGAAACAATGCCTAGCACAACAGGAAATATAGTTTAAGTGGTCAATCATCATGTCTACTGATATTTTATCTCAAATTTCACATTTTTATTGACCTGAATTCCTTGAAGGGATATGATGTATACATAGCTTTTTACTAAGCGTAATATAATGTTGACCTGTCTTTATTTTATATCTTCTTCTTTTACGATATCCAGGCTCAGGTTGAATGTCTGGCAAGTGTACTATCTCGAAAATATCCGGTTGGCAAATTTTAGAATGTCCGGTTTACACTTTTTCAAATTGGACATTTTGCAAGTCCAGCACATAGACAGGTTTCCGAAGCCCTGTTGGAAACTAAACTTATGAACACTCTTTAACATTTGTAATGACCTGAAGAATGTTTATTGAAGATGATACAAGAGAGAAAAACTGGGGCATGAGAGATGCATCCAGTGTATTCTTAACTTGCCTAATCACAGGAATAGGCGATGTTCCCACTAAGGACCAGTTGTGGCCAGCATGGGCTATTTCTGTCCTAGAGTCTAAACCTGCATCAGCCTGCTGAGGTCGACCTTCACCTGAAAAGGAGTAACATTCTTCCTTGTGGAAGTGCCTCTGGCCAGAAAACGAGTGCTGTTGTACTAGGGACATGCTCAGACAATCATTGGAATTGCAAAGTCAGCAAAACCTAAGCCCATTTCGCCTTTCCATGTTGACTTGAGCCATGCCTTCTTTTAGTGGTATTATTAGGTGTGATAGCCAATGTCTTTATCACAGGCTTGAAAGTGTGTAGGTTTTGTATTGATTACACATAATTGTCTTAATTATGCCCTTGCTATGTGCTTAGACTGGTGGTTTTACATAAGTGAAGTTATAGATAGCTATTGGGCAATAACATTGGAGCCAGATTCTTATTTCGTTATTTTGCAGGGTAATGCACATTTTTAAGGTTTAGAATGTTGGTGTTTATCTTCCATGGTGTGTGAAATAATGTTGACTTAACAGTGCAGTAGTTGTGATGGAGAAATGTATCAGTTATATACTGATATACTGTGCTGTGATGCAGTGATGTTATGTCACCTTTGATGTTGATTGAGCCACAGACTGTAAGGATAATTTTTTTCCAGTCACAGACTGTAAGGGTGATGTTGTTTGTACCACAGACTGTAAGGGTGATGTTGTTTGAACCACAGACTGTAAGGATAATGTTGTTCCAGTCACAGACTGTAAGGGTGATGTTGTTTGAACCACAGACAGTAAGGGTGGTGTTGTTTGACCCACAGACTGTAAGGATGATCTTGTTTGACCCACAGACTGTAAGGGTGATGTTGATTGAACCACAGACTGTAAGGATAATGTTGTTCCAGTCACAGACTGTAAGGGAGATGTTGTTTGAACCACAGACTGTAAGGGTGATGTTGTTCCAGTCACAGATTTTAAGGATGATGTTGTTCCAGCCACAGACTGTAAGGATGATGTTGTTCCAGTCACAGACTGTAAGGATAATGTTGTTCCAGTCACAGACTGTAAGGGTAATGTTGTTTGTACCACAGACTGTAAGGGTGATGTTGTTCCAGTCACAGATTGTAAGGGTGATGTTGTTCCAGTCACAGACTGTAAGGATGATGTTGTTCCAGTCACAGATTGTAAGGATGATGTTGTTCCAGTCACAGACTGTAAGGATAATGTTGTTTGAACCAAAGACTGTAAGGATAATGTTGTTTGACCCACAGACTGTAAGGATGATGTTGTTCCAGTCACAGACTGTAAGGATGATGTTGTTCCAGTCACAGACTGTAAGGGTGGTGTTGATTGACCCACAGACTGTAAGGATAATGTTGTTTGAACCAAAGACTGTAAGGATAATGTTGTTCCAGTCACAGACTGTAAGGGTAATGTTGTTCCAGTCACAGACTATAAGGATGATGTTGTTCCAGTCACAGATTGTAAGGATGATGTTGTTCCAGTCACAGACTGTAAGGGGAATGTTGTTCCAGTCACAGACTGGAAGTATGATGTTGTTTGACCCACAGACTGTAAGGATGATCTTGTTTGACCCACAGACTGTAAGGGTGATGTTGATTGAACCACAGACTGTAAGGATAATGTTGTTCCAGTCACAGACTGTAAGGATAATGTTGTTCCAGTCACAGACTGTAAGGATGATGTTGTTTGTACCACAGACTGTAAGGATAATGTTGTTCCAGTCACAGACTGTAAGGATAATGTTGTTTGAACCACAGACAGTAAGGATAATGTTGTTTGAACCACATACTGTAAGGATGATGTTGTTTGACCCACAGACTGTAAGGGTGATGTAGTTTGAACCAAAGACTGTAATGATAATGTTGTTCCAGTCACAGACTGTAAGGGTGATGTTTTTTTAACCAAAGACTGTAATGATAATGTTGTTCCAGTCACAGACTGTAAGGATAATGTTGTTCCAGTCACAGACTGTAAGGATAATGTTGTTTGAACGACAGACTAAGAATAATGTTGTTTGAACCAACGACTGTAAGGATAATGTTGTTACAGTCACAGACTGTAAGGGTGATGTTTGAACCAAAGACTGTAATGATAATGTTGTTTGAACCACAGATTGTGAGGGTGATGTTGATCCAGTCACAGACTGTAAGGATGATGTTGTTCCAGTCACAGATTGTAAGGATAATGTTGTTCCAGTCACAGACTGTAATGATAATGTTGTTCCAGTCACAGACTGTAAGGATAATGTTGTTTGAACCACAGATTGTAAGGGTGATGTTGTTCCAGTCACAGACTGTAAGGGTGATGTTGTTCCAGTCACAGACTGTAAGGATAATGTTGTTTGAACCACAGATTGTAAGGGTGATGTTGTTCCAGTCACAGACTGTAAGGATGATGTTGTTCCAGTCACAGACTGTAAGGGTAATGTTGTTTGACCCACAGACTGTAAGGAGAATGTTGTTCCAGTCACAGATTGTAAGGATGATGTTGTTCCAGTCACAGACTCTAAGGATGATGTTGTTCCAGTCACAGATTGTAAGGATAATGTTGTTCCAGTCACAGACTGTAAGGATGATGTTGTTCCAGTCACAGATTGTAAGGATAATGTTGTTCCAGTCACAGACTGTAAGGATGATGTTGTTCCAGTCACAGATTGTAAGGATGATGTTGTTCCAGTCACAGATTGTAAGGATGATGTTGTTCCAGTCACAGACTGTAAGGGGAATGTTGTTCCAGTCCCAGACTGTAAGGATAATGTTGTTTGAACCACATACTGTAAGGATGATGTTGTTCCAGTCACAGACTGTAAGGATAATGTTGTTCCAGTCACAGACTGTAAGGATAATGTTGTGCCAGTCACAGATTGTAAGGATAATGTTGTTCCAGTCACAGACTGTAAGGATAATGTTGTTTGAACCAATGACTGTAAGGGTGATGTTGTTCCAGTCACAGACTGTAAGGATGATGTTGTTCCAGTCAGAGACTGTAAGGATGATGTTGTTCCAGTCACAGACTGTAAGGATAATGTTGTTTGTACCACAGACTGTAAGGGTGATGTTGTTCCAGTCACAGACTGTAAGGATGATGTTGTTCCAGTCACAGACTGTAAGGATAATGTTGTTCCAGTCACAGATTGTAAGGATAATGTTGTTCGAGTGACAGACTGTAAGGATAATGTTGTTCCAGTCACAGACTGTAAGGGTGATGTTGTTCCAATCACAGACTGTAAGGGTGATGTTGATTGAACTACAGACTGATACAGGAGTAATGTTGAAATGTATCCTCATATTTGGAATATTGCGCGAATGAGATAAATATTATGTGAAGGTTCAAGATTTGTCTGCAATGTATCCTCACACTGACTGCTTTGTCTGCAGCTTTCATCTATGCAACTGGTGCACTGGGTCCGGTCCTTGGATACGCTCTGGGGGCGCTTCTCCTCCAATACTACGTCGACACCTTCATCTACGACGTGGGACTCACCACATCCAGTCCCAACTGGATCGGAGCGTGGTGGGGCGGCTTCATTATCTGTGGACTGTTACTTCTCTTGCTAGCGATTCCCTTCCTCGCCTTCCCTAAAGTCCTTGTCCAGGAAAAGAAGAAGCTGCTAGAGTTGAAGGCCAAGGAGGAGCTGCTGTCCCAGGAGGAAGAGGAAGACAAGGAGTATGGGAAGACCATCAAAGGTACGGTGGAGCTAAAACATCCCAGTCTATAAGTTATCTGTAAATGAAAATGGTGATCAATTTGTGTTATTTTTATCACTATTTTGCCTTTTGCACCATTTGGAATCTTGTTTCAGCAGATTTTGGAGGCTTACTGTTTTCTGACGTTGACATTTTAAGTCAATTACTGTTCGAAAATTAAGGATGGCCAGATGTAGGAAATTTGGCATTTGGTATATATTCCTTTGTGTTCGACTTAAAACAACCTTGAATCATGTTAATTTTCTTTGCTCTAGGAAACTACGCTAATTATTGTCTGTAGGTTATGTAGAAAATTTGTTGGAAAAACACTGAAAACCATTTGGGCCAGTATACACAGACAGTTTTGGGCACAGACCCCGTTACACAACTCATGCTCTCTCTCTCTCTTGCTCTCTCTCTCTCACTAACTCACTCACTCACTGACTCACTCCGCACCGCACCGCACCGCACCGCACCGCACCGCACTACACCAAATCACACACACACACGCACGCACGCACACACACGCACACGCACACGCACACGCACACATACCACACCACACCACTCTACACACCCATTCCAATGCATGCTACAATGGCTGCTGTTGCTGCTACATCTGGCATCATTCAGTCACTCCTCACAAGGGCTCTATCAAGGTCAGTGCTGTTGCACATTACCCTGCTGGCGACATTGTTCACCACATGAGCAGCAGGTTTGTCCAGGAATATCACATGCATAAAGCCATGCTGGAGAACAATGGCCTGACATAAACAGCTACCTGTGGGTATGGTGGTTGCATGATTAAGTCCTTGTAGGAATAATAGATCATCATGTGGCGCCGCTGATGGCATGTTTGCTTCCAGAGGTGCAATCAAAATGGCGATTGCTTCAGTTATGTTTGCCAGATATTGTCCTACCTGCTGTTAGTGTTTGAGGCCATTAGGTGTGGAAAACTGCTTTGAGTTTTTAGAAATGTTGTTTTGGAAATGACTTGTACTGTAAACAGGTGCCATGAGCATGGGATATCGTGAATGTATTGGTGAAAAATATCGTAGCCGAGGGGTATACAAGCGTTTTGCTCATCAGGGAAAAAGACCAGGTTTCTATTCTCCCCAAGTGTACAATGTGTGAAGCCCATTTCTTTTATACCCCGGCGGATGATATGAATGATATGAATGATATGCTAAATTTATCACAAAACCCTGGGAATGTGCATAAGTCAACCAAAAACCATGCTCACCAGCCCACCCAGAGAGAAGGTTGCCGCTGGTCATATGACACTATGGTAACCCTGGAGACAATAACAAAATGGCTTCAATTTTGGCGTTGATGCCAAAACATTTCAAAACTTAACATTTTAGACAGTCTTAATCATAGGGTTATTTTTCTAGTCTACCGGACATTCCTGGATGAATACTCCAGTACACTTTTTCATGTCAGTAAGTGAGAGATGCCGTCTGCTGAAGTGGCCCTCTTCAGAAGTCCAAGCCTAAGAACCAGTTGTTTTGTTCCATCAGTGAATGTCAAGTGAGGTGTTGCTTGAGTTCAGTTGACTTGAGTGGAACAGTTTTTATCCAGAGCTATGTAGTATATCAAGCATCCTAGTTGGTGTGGCTTTCACAAGCATTTGCACACCGCTTCAACAGTGAGGATGTTTAGTTCACAGTAAACAAACATACACTCAGTTGGAACAGACCCGTGAAGATCTAGGTTAGAATAGGTCTTCAGCAGCCCATTCTTGTTGTAAGCGGTGACTAACGGGATCAGGTGGTCAGGCTTGCTGAATTGGTTGGTGCATGTAATCGTATCCCAATTGCATGGATCAATGCTCATGATATCAATCATTGGATTGTCTGGTCCAGGCACGATTATTTACAGACCGCCGTCATATAGCTGGAATATTGCTGAGTGCAGCGTTAAACAGCAACCAAACAGACCAACATACAAACAGACGGAACAGGAAATATCACTTGACTTAATAGGTGTACCCATGTTTCTTTCTTTTTTCACCTTTTTTTTTTTCCAAATACACCTGAATCCCTCTTCCTCATTCTCAAACTCATTTGCAAGGTGATTACCTTACTAGCAAACGCCATTGAAGAAAAGCTGATACTAATTGAATGTAAGATCCTAGATGTTATGAAACAGATTTGCCCGAGTGAGTCTCTGCCCTTCTTGTAAGAAGTTTATTTCATTACAGCTTGATTGCCTCACTCAGGAATCATAAACAGTTGGCCAGCTCCTCAATCCAGCAACTTTCAATCAAGTAAAACATAGCATCTCCAGCCACTGTGCATAACATGCCCAATTCATGGACACATCAATACTATTTGAGGTTTTCTAACTGACTTCATGTGCTCTCTTTAATTCTATTACCTTCGAGAGAAGTGTTAAGCGATGGACGAATTAGACACAAAAATCACATCTAGATATTTCATGGCAGGAAATTGACAGTGCCCTTTGAGCTGCGATCTGATTATTGTGGAGTACCTTCACAAAAACTCCAGAAGGAACTTTAGATTCATTGATTTAGCATGGCATAAGTTGAGAATAAAACTGCATCTAGAGGGTATGGGCCGACAAGGGAGCATCGATTGTGTGAGTCTGTACCAATAGCTGCTCCCTCAGCTTGCATGATGACCTGTGTCATTCATTCCAGTAAGAGATTTAAGCTTATTGATAAGTCATATATTTTAAAATCGTTTTAGTGTTTAAATATTTGTGAATGTAGGAATCTGTTTAGCAATGAACATTTCGGATTGATCATTTCATGTTTAAATTTGAATTCTGAAAAGGTCACATGTGTTGAAATAGCTAGAAGTGACATACCCATGTATTTATTCACAAGCATGTAGTTTCAGCTCTTCTTGGCTGTCAGGGTCACTATGCAGTGTTACAAGCAGGGAACTTGGCTGTCAGATCACTATGCAGTGTTACATTCAGGGGACGTGGCTGTCAGAGTCACTATGCAGTGTTCCATGCAGGGGACGTGGCTGTCAGGGTCACTATGCAGTGTTACATTCAGGGGACGTGGCTGTCAGAGGGTCACTATGCAGTGTTACATGCAGGGGACGTGGCTGTCAGATCACTATGCAGTGTTACATGCAGGGGACGTGGCTGTCAGAGTCACTATGCAGTGTTTCATGCAGGGGACGTGGCTGTCAGATCACTATGCAGTGTTTCATTCAGGGGACGTGGCTGTCAGATCACTATGCAGTGTTACATGCAGGGGACATGGCTGTCGGATCACTATGCAGTGTTACATTCAGGGGACCTGGCTGTCAGATCACTATGCAGTGTTACATGCAGGGGACGTGGCTGTCAGGGTCACTATGCAGTGTTACATGCAGGGGACGTGGCTGTCAGATCACTATGCAGTGTTACATGCAGGGGACGTGGCTGTCAGGGTCACTATGCAGTGTTACATGCAGGGGACGTGGCTGTCAGATCACTATGCAGTGTTACATGCAGGGGACGTGGCTGTCAGAGTCACTATGCAGTGTTCCATGCAGGGGACGTGGCTGTCAGGGTCACTATGCAGTGTTACATTCAGGGGACGTGGCTGTCAGATCACTATGCAGTGTTACATGCAGGGAACTTGGCTGTCAGATCACTATGCAGTGTTACATTCAGGGGACGTGGCTGTCAGATCACTATGCAGTGTTACATGCAGGGGACGTGGCTGTCAGATCACTATGCAGTGTTACATGCAGGGAACGTGGCTGTCAGATCACTATGCAGTGTTACATGCAGGGGACGTGGCTGTCAGAGTCACTATGCAGTGTTTCATGCAGGGGACGTGGCTGTCAGATCACTATGCAGTGTTTCATTCAGGGGACGTGGCTGTCAGAGGGTCACTATGCAGTGTTACATGCAGGGGACGTGGCTGTCAGATCACTATGCAGTGTTACATGCAGGGGACGTGGCTGTCAGAGTCACTATGCAGTGTTTCATTCAGGGGACGTGGCTGTCAGAGGGTCACTATGCAGTGTTACATGCAGGGGACGTGGCTGTCAGATCACTATGCAGTGTTACATGCAGGGGACGTGGCTGTCAGGGTCACTATGCAGTGTTACATGCAGGGGACGTGGCTGTCAGATCACTATGCAGTGTTACATTCAGGGGACGTGGCTGTCAGGGTCACTATGCAGTGTTACATGCAGGGGACGTGGCTGTCAGATCACTATGCAGTGTTACATGCAGGGGACATGGCTGTCAGATCACTATGCAGTGTTACATGCAGGGGACGTGGCTGTCAGATCACTATGCAGTGTTACATTCAGGGGACGTGGCTGTCAGGGTCACTATGCAGTGTTACATGCAGGGGACGTGGCTGTCAGATCACTATGCAGGGATTCTTGGCTGTCAGGGTCACAGTGAAAAGGGTGGTGGGGTATCCTAGTGGTTAAGGCGTTTGCTTGTCATGCTGAAGGCCTGAGTTCGATTCCCCACATGAGTACAATGTGTGAAGCCATGTCCCCTGCCCTGATATTGCTGGAATATTGCTAAAAGCCTTTGATCTTTTTGTGAAGCATCTAAGAATGATGTACAATGTATAGGGAATAACCTGTAGCTATAAGAGTTAATTATTAAGTTTCAAAAAATATTTCATGGACAGAAAATCCATAAAAACAAGTTTAGAGTTCCGTATCACTCAAAATTTGTCACTCGGTTACTTGGTTGACTTTTTGTGCCATCATAACCCAATGGCAAGGGGTGTTGTTCATGATATCAACCACTTGGTTGTCTGGTACAGGCCGCCATGATAAAGCTGGAATATTGCTGACTGTGCATGAAGCAACAAAGCTCAGTGTTGGATGGACTGAAGTAGGAACAAGATGTCCTGAAACTTGCAGTACAGAAAGATTCAAATGTCATGTGCACATTCTACCTCCTACTGCCTATCACTACAATCATGCTGAAAGTCAATCAGTTTTTACAGTTAACAGAAAAAAAAGGAAGAAAAATATATTTTGGAGATATAACGAGACGATTCCTGCTGCCCCAGTTCTTATCAATATGATTTGTGTCAGCATTGACCCATAAATTGATTGATCTGCTCGGCTCGGCCCACTTGGTGAGGCAGTTGTCAGCTTGTTACTGGCCATCCCGCAGCACTCCCATCGATCTCTCTCTTCCATCAACCAGTTACTCACCCATTACATGATATTAAGTGATTGTTACTTCCTGATGTATCTGAATGCTGGTATGTTTGCCGTCTGCTGGCAGCCATGGAGCATGTGCTACATATGTGGGCTATGTTTGGGGTGTCTTACCTTTATTGAGCCACCATTAAAGGCAATTATTTGTTGATGGCTCTTTTCAAGAAGAAAACAGTTTCCCAACAATTTCATTATCCAGAGGCCTGTCTGTCTGATCTAGCATCTGATGCCAGTAATATACCATGTAAGTTACTGTATTACTGCTAATTGCTGGGGTGTTTTTGATCATTAGATGTTTAACTGTTCAACAGCGTTATAAAATTGGTATCAGGAGTAATCTGGCCCACTTAGGCAAGTAATAGATGTTGATCTGGAACATAGACGCTTGTTTAAAAGATACGTCTGGGTAGGCTCCTGCAGAATACAATGTTCTGATCAGTTAAACTTTATCTGACTTTGTAAGTAAGCACTACACTTTCCTTCAACATCACTTCACTCACATTCAACATTGCTAGACTCACATTCAACATCACGTCACTCACATTCAACATTGCTAGACTCACATTCAACATCACTTCACTCACATTCAACATCGCTAGACTCACATTCAATATCACTTCACTCACATTCAACATGGCTAGACTCACATTCAACATCAAATCACTCACATTAAACATTGCTAGAGCCACATTCAACATCACTTCACTCACATTCAACATTGCTAGACTCACATTCAACATCACTTCACTCACATTCAACATCGCTAGACTCACATTCAATATCACTTCACTCACATTTAACATGGCTAGACTCACATTCAACATGGCTAGACTCACATTCAACAACGCTAGACTCACATTCAACATGGCTAGACTCACATTCAACAACGCTAGACTCACATTCAAAAACGCTAGACTCACATTCAACATCACTTCACTCACATTCAACATCCCTACTCAAATTCAACATCAAATCACTCACATTAAACATTGCTAGAGCCACATTCAACATCACTTCACTCACATTCAACATCGCTACTCACATTCAAGATTGCTAGCCTCACATTCAACATTGCTAGGCTCACATTCAACATTGTTAAACTCACATTCAACATTGCTAGTCTCACATTCAACATCACTTCACTCACATTCAACATTGTTAGACTCACATTCAACACCACTTCACTCACATTCAACATTGCTAGACTCACATTCAACATTGCTAGACTCACATTCAACATTGCTAGTCTCACATTCAACATCTGCACTTCACTCACATTCAACATTGCTAGCGACGTGCATGCACATGTGTCTGTGGCTGCATGTACTAGTCCAGGTTAATACCAAGTTTGAAGTGCTAGTCCACTGAGATACCATGCCACAGTATACATGAATACCCCACTCAGACAGAGTAAAATCTAACAAGGGAAGCTAACAGATGATTGGCGCTGATAAGGGATTAGCAATAGGCAATGGAAGCCAACACTGCCTGGTGCTTGGGACTTATTGCTTTGATCTATCTTTGTCGGTGCCAATTACCTAGCTGGCTTCAATTGGCCCTTTGCTATGTCCATTCTTTCACCTATCAGTGCTAATTACCCCGGCCTCCCGTTTGCCCAGTGTCCATTACCTATTACCTATCTATAGGACTGGCTTCCATACCTTCAGCGGTCTTTACTGTAACGTGTTGGCTTCCTTTGTCTATTGCTTATCACCTATCAGCGCCAATCATCTGTAAGCTTCCCTTGTTAGTTTATACTCTGTCTGAGTGGGGTATTCATGTATACTGTGGCATGGTATCTCAGTGGACTAGCACTTCAAACTTGGTATTAACCTGGACTAGTACAAGCAGCCACAGACACATGTGCATGCCGGTCGCTAGTAAGTGCAATAATCCTGGATGCAACATTAAACCCCATTTGACCTTCATCTTGTTGTTACCCTGCCTGTTTGCTTGGCATTAAGGGGATAAGACAAGGACTGGTTGTCTTGGAGTCAGTATGATGTTTCTTGGTGGGGTATCTATGTAAAACTGTGACATATCTCACAGGGCTGGCACTATAAAACTGGTATAAGTCCTGACTAGTAGAAGCAGCCACACACTCACAAGTGCATTATGAAATGTGCATGCATGGTGCCAAATAAATAAAATGCAATCATCTTGAACGAGATGTGAAACTTCATTTCCCCTCACCTCACTATCACAGCCTTGCAGTCGGAGGTACGAGAAAGAACACCAGCTAAATCACCAGCTGATGTTGCTGCAAAGATACAATCCATGATATTGTTACTACATGGCTCAGAGAGCCTCTACATCATCAAACCTGAGGTGGCTGTGTACTACAGCCTGTTTTTTGCCCTTGTTTCTGTGTGATGCATCTAATAAATTAGAAAGGAATCCATTTAGCAGGGCATGATGGCATGTTGATGGAATTTCCTCAATGAGTTTTATGACAGTATTAGAGAGTGGAAGCATAATGCCCTAATGGGAAGACCCAGGTTACATGGCCTGCTGTAGTTCAACTCTCATCAAAGTACAAAAAGAGTTATCTGTAGTTTGATAGAAGCAGAGTGCTGATAATTGACCATAGTGTTCGCAGGAATTCTTTCTACTCATTACTCAAGTGACAGTATATCGACTTAACAGAGCCAGACATTAATAAGTTAAATAATGTCATGATGAATTTATGCAGTATATTTTTGTAAATGGTAATTATGATGTATACTTCCCGACTTGAAACACCTACTGTAATCTGTAGGGCGCCCTTTAGAAAGCAGGTACCGTAATCTGTAGGGCACCCTTCAGAAAGGAGGTACCGTAATCTGTCGGGCGCTCTTCAGAAAGGAAGTACCGTAATCTGTAGGGCGCCCTTCAGAAAGGAGGTACCGTAATCTGTAGGGCGCCCTTCAGGAAGGAGGTACCGTAATCTGTAGGGCGCCCTTCAGAAAGGCGGTACCGTAATCTGTAGGGTGCCCTTCAGAAAGGCGATACCGTAATCTGTCGGGCGCCCTTCAGAAAGGCGGTACTGTAATCTGTGGGGCACCCTTCAGGAAGGAGGTACCGTAATCTGTAGGGTGCCCTTCAGAAAGGCGATACCGTAATCTGTCGGGCGCCCTTCAGAAAGGCGGTACTGTAATCTGTGGGGCACCCTTCAGGAAGGAGGTACCGTAATCTGTCGGGCGCCCTTCAGAAAGGCGGTACTGTAATCTGTAGGGCGCCCTTCAGGAAGGAGGTACCATAATCTGTAGGGCAACCTTCAGAAAGGAGGTACAGTAATCTGTAGGGCGCCCTTCAGAAAGGCGGTACTGTAATCTGTAGGGCGCCCTTCAGGAAGGAGGTACCGTAATCTGTAGGGCGCCCTTCAGGAAGGAGGTACCGTAATCTGTAGGGCAACCTTCAGAAAGGAGGTACAGTAATCTGTAGGGCGCCCTTCAGAAAGGCGGTACTGTAATCTGTAGGGCGCCCTTCAGGAAGGAGGTACCGTAATCTGTAAGACAACCTTCAGAATGGAGTTGAATGTCACTATGATATGTAACCATGACATAAAATGTTATTGGACTTTTATAATGAGCAGCATATCATGAACTTTAAGTAGTGAGCTTCTCACCTCAGAGTAAACAGGGTAAATCTTAGAATATTATTGTAATGCAGCAGTGCACATTGATATAATTTCATGTTTAGCAACCCCTGTCTGCGATATTGTGCTTTAGATTCAATATTCAGTTTTTGTATATTTGATTTTAAGTAATTTTCTATACAAGTCAGTCCAGCCATATTGCATCTGTCATTCACATCTTCCCAAGGCAAGAGAGTTAACTGACTATAAAAGTCAAGTTTTCACCCTTGCCGAACTAGGCTGGTATTATGGAGTTACATTTTGGCTGGACTAACGAGTCTATGCATAGTCCAATCAAAATCGCGCACCGAAATCGAAATCCGGTTTGTAAACTGTTGTGCAGATTTCGGTCGATTGCAGGATTTACAAAGCATGTGCACCGCCAACTCGTTGTCAACAGATATTTTCCAAATCTTTTCAGGTTTTTAATCAAGGTGCTCATGTGATTTGATGCATTTCGCGATGTAAGACACATTTTATCACAATATAGATCATGATTATCGATCAGATAGTCCTGACCGGGAGCCACCATTTTGTGTGAAGCAAACGCAAGTGATACGAGAGGTGGAATCTGATTGGTCCATAGGAGAGGTTTAGAAGGGACATAACTGGTAATAACCACTGGTGGCGCTACGATCTAGCCCAGTAATTCCAGCCTAGTTCGGCAAGGGTGGAAACTGGACTTTTAAGGCCAGTTAACTCTCTTGCCTCGGGAAGATGGTCATTCACAGCACTGGAACTGAGTTTCTGTCACGGCAACAGAATGTGTTTTGTTTCTATGGTGTATATTTCAGATATTCATCTTCTATGATGTTTTGTTCTGTGTACTTACATCATGTCATATGTCTAATATATCCCTTGTTGTATATTTCAGGTATTCATCTTCTATGATGTTTCTGTTCTGTTCATGTCATATGTCAAATATATCCCATGTTGTATATTTCAGATATCCCCCGTTCCATGCTGCGCCTATTGAAGAACTCTGTGTATATAGTTGTGTGCCTGGGAATTTGTTGTGAAATCTCTATTGTGAGCGGGTTTGTTGTCTTTCTTCCCAAATACATCGAGACCCAATTTGGTACTTCTACATCCGTCGCCAACTTATTTACAGGTGAGTCATTACTGATACCAAGTTTCGAAGTATAGCACTTCCAAGTTAAGCATATATGAACTGGGTGTTGACATGGGAATATGAAGATATATTCAACTTCATCCCAGCGGCATCTCAGCTACCAGTTGTATTATCATGGGTTCCAATTCCAAACTTTTATTCGTTAGTATCATTCCAGGTCTGTACCTGTGGTCATGGGTATCACCAAAGTGGTACATGTCCAAGACTTGTATCACGTCAAGTTTTCCTCTCATTTTAAGCTTATTTTCCTTACAAATTAGGATGTAACTAGAGACTAGTTCAATGCTGTGTTAAACCCAACTCACTCACTCACTCAGATAAATCCTGCGTTACTTTTAAATGCATCGTATTTGTGGAGGAACTTGGGTAGTAAGAGCAGTATGAAACCACACCCACTCACTCACTCACGCTAGATGTGAAATGTGCCATGTTTCAGGTGGTATCGGTATTCCTGGTGCCGTCATTGGAATCCTGATTGGTGGCTATCTCATCAAGCGACTACAGTTGCAGCCTAAAGGTATGTGACTGACAATAGAGGTACGCTAAGCAATTCATAGACTTCATAAAGCTATACTTATGCCCCAGTAACCTTTGCTTGTCGTAAGAGTTGACAAATGATAGGGTGATAAGACTTGGTTAAATTTGCTTGTAATTGTATCCTAATTGTGTGGGACATTACTTATGACACAATCACTGGTGTGTGTGGTCCAGACTCCACTATTTGTGGACCCATATAATGTAATTGGTATATTACTGTTGAAACAACTAACACTTTACATCACGTGGGGACCCAATCCCTCTAACTGACCCAACCTTGATGATTTTCTATCATACTTCACTTTGGAGCCACTACACCAAGACTCTTTGGTAGCCCTCAATCAGGGTTCGTTCTAGGAATTTTCTGACATGGATCCTTTATGTGAAATTTTCAAATATTCCAGAGGTACGCCCATACAGCACAATGTTAAAATGCCCCATTGTATTTGAAGATGTGGGCCTTTTTTTCAACAAGCACAAGGCCCCACCCCAGAATCATCCCTGCCCCAAGGATGTGACTATCTAGTAGTTGGTGTTTCTCCAGTACAATTTGAGTTGGACCTGACATGCGTACCCAAGGTTTGCCTCAAGTGTTGTCTGGTTCTGGATGAAGGAACATATTTGTTTTCCCAGGTTCTCTATTTAGGTTAATGAAAACTCAAAAATAGTACTCTTGCTCCTGAGGTCCATCTGTCTCAGGGACAAGTGTTTTGTTTAATGCCAATCTGCTACGACCTTGACCCCTGTGCACTAACATGTTTGTCTGAGAGCAGTTTGTACCATCAGCCTCTCAGGCTGTCGACCTCCAGGGCTCCAGGGAGACTGCACACAACCACTAATGCAGTCGTTCATTCCTCCACAGTAAAAAATCTAATTGGAAGGACTATTTTTACCTGACAGTACAGCCATTAACCTGGTACATGGTACAACCTGATTATTCAGGTGTATTCACCGGAGGTAGAAACCCTCACTGCTTGTTAGGCTGCCGTTTTTTATGTTTAGATAAAAATGTCTTCCAGCTTTTTAGCTCTTCTGGCCCGGCCTACCTAGAAGTATAGGACTTTATGAGCATCCTTTGTAGATATGGAAGTGACTCTAGATAAATACACTGGTTAATTGCTATACATCTGATCCAATGTTATATCTATCAGTAGTATCTTGTGAACAGGTTTTTTGTTACTTTTTAATGATTGTGTGTCTCCACAAGAATGTATAATGTAGACAAAAATGATGTATTATGAGAATAACTAACGAACTACAAGGAAGTCATGGTTTAAGATCAGCCACAATTCCATCATGTCCATGTTACGAGTTGGATATTCTTTTTCTTACCCATGATCAAATTTACTGCAAATGTCTCCAGATCCCATCACTGACCAACTTCGAAATGTATCCCTATGCAACGGTAAACAAGTGACCATTTCACGGCACATCAGATTGTGTAAAATAGCTCGATATCACCCTTCAAATTTAGTATATTTGTATCACTTTTTTTTATACAGGACAGCATGCAAAACGTGAGAAATGTGTCATTGCATTTATTTCATTAACATTAACAAATGCAAGTTAACAATTTCATAAGTCAACACGTGCAAGAGTGAGTTGAAGCGGGTCACTCATGTTGACGAAACGTTACAACGGCTCAGTAAGCAATTGTAAAGTTTTCGGACATGTACAAGTTGAAGCCAGACATGCATACCACCGATGGATGGATGGATTCAATATTTTTCAAGTTGCAGTTATTTATTCGGAATCAGAATCCAGAATTATGTGAAGCGTCTCATTCGATATCAGCATGTGTAATAATAGTGATGAACCTGAATGTACTACAATGTTGTACAACTGACCTGATTGGCCTACAGTGTTGTACAACTGACATGATTGGCCTACAGTCTTGTACAAATGACATGATTGGCTTTCAGTGTTGTACAATTGACCTGAATGACCAGTTGTACAAGTTACTGACCTGTTGTACAACTTACCTCAGTGACCTACAGTGTTGTACAACTGACCTCAGTGACCAACAGTGTTGTACAACTGACCTGAATGAACTCAGTATTTCCTTCCCTTACAGGTGCCATCCAGCTGACCCTGGTGCTGAATGGTCTGGCTCTCTGTGGCTTCACATTCTTCTTCTTCCTCGGCTGTGACAATCGCAAAATAGCAGGAGCCACTTTCCCGTACTTCAACAGGTACGTGCAGTGGGGTACCACAGTGGTAGGACAGGTACAAGCATGCCAGGCTTACGTTAGTCACCCGAACATATGGTCATCAGTTTCATCTTCTCGTCAAAGTCAGTATCACTTGAGTTTTAAACCGCCTCCGTGGTCTAGAGGTAGAGCATCCGCCAGGAGAGCGGAAGGTCCAGGGTTCGATCCCCGGGCTGCGTCATACTAAAAGACGTTAAAAGATGGTACTTGTTGTTACCCTGTCTGGCGCTCGGCATTAAGGGGCTAAAATAAGGACTGGTCGGCTCGGCGTCAGTATACTGTGTCTGAGTGAGGTATTCATGTTAAACTGCGGCATGGTATCTCAGTGTGCTAACACTATAAATCGGCATCAGTCCGGACTAGTACAATCAGCCACACACATGTGCATGCACGTTGCTATATAAGTGCAATAATCTTGGACGCGACGTTAAACCCAAATTCACCTCACATCACTTGAGTTTTAGTTAAGTGGAGACGGGAGACAGCCCACTGACAGTCCAAGCAAGTCATGGAAAACCCACTTTGTCTGCTGATTTTATGACACATGGCAATGTATTTATAGGGAGATAAAACCAAGTGTATTTTCAACTGATAGGTTTTGAGCTTGTATTTCATTTGAACTTGAACCAACCGTGATAGTGTGAGGTTCCAAGTTTGAAAAATTTACAGGTATAGTATTGAAATTTAAAATTTCTAAATTGAAACGTTTATCTCCTTTCTACCATGACACAATTACAAAACAAATGCGAACTCTTCGCAGAGATGATTGGATAAAGTGGCATTGGTTGAGCCAAATATTGGCCTTGGATTGTAGGGGCAAATCCGGGATCGGTGGCGATCTGGTGGTGTTAATCTGCATATGTGTTTGCTTTATGTTCCCACACCATGATTATCACCATAATACTCGAACCACTTCAATGAGACACAATAAAAAAGTCCAGATATCCTGTAAACTTTGTTCAGACTGACATCCCTAGAGATAATGAACTGACCTTTGTAGTACACAGCACTATTGTGACGTCACAAAGGTCCACAGATGGGAAGTCTAAGTGTTGCAGTAGACATGACAACACGATACGTGATAGAGTAGCGCCAACAGTCCAGCCGTGTTCATGTTACTGACCTTAGTATTTGTTCGTCAAATTTTCCACATGAAATATTTTGCCACGCATGCTGTAATATTGTAGGAACCGTAGCCTTGAAGAAGTAGGATCAGTGTTTAAATTGTCAAACAGTGCAGGTTTGAGAAAGCAGTGATTCTGAATATTTTCTTTCGTGGTAATGCATAATAATATAGATTCAATACCTCGGGTGGACAAATCAGAATGCAGGATTCTAAGATGCCCAGTGTCATGCCTAGGATGCACACACAGTATCCAGACAGTGGAGGAGCATTGTCTTGCCCTGTTAATCAAAATATGGTTGTTATGCTAAAATATGGGTGGAAGGTTTGTGATAATTCTTTACTTTTAAAAAAAATGGTCAATAGTTATTTAAGAGAAATCAGCAACTAAGTTCGATTGACCATGAGGTTGTGAAAGTACCTTGCCATTTACATGTGTTAGATATTGTTTATTCTGATCAGCACCGGGCATAAGATCTTTGAGGCGAACCTGACGTCATCGTGTAACCAGAATTGTGACTGTTCCCCAAACCACCTGGAACCGATCTGCGGCATCAACGGCATAACCTACTTCTCCCCATGCCATGCGGGATGCACTGGCTCCAACCGCTTCTACAACCAAGACAACCAGTATGAGAGAATGTTTGTAAGTGGAGGTTTATCCCCGGGACCTGTTGATTCTCTGCTAGAGTGAATAGTTCATGCAGCAATAGAAACTAACCCTTTTCGTCCAGTAATCCTAATAATGATAACACATAGCAAAACCCTAAATAATGGAAAATTTCTACTAGTCCTTATGATACCTTGACTGTAGGGTAGTTTGGCAAGGACTATAGGATTAGTGCCAATTTCTAAGACTGGTTTAGCTGTCATGATTAGTACTGATAATCACACAAAATTGTCAAAATATTTGTGAAACCTTAAATATAATCTAAGATATGTTTTCTTTATCGTGTGAAATACTTGTTGCATTTGGAAAGTCTTAAGCTGGGAAAGCAGTTGGCAATTTTTGTTTCTATTTCACATTGTCACGTGTTAGCTAAGTGCGTAACGTTTACAGAACTACAGTGGCTGTTCCTGCATCATGGATCAAGACCATGCACAGTTTGACCACGAGGTCATCATGTCGCCCCTGGCAACCAGTGGCCCGTGCAAGAACACATGTGAGAAGATCCTGCCATTCCTCATCCTGCTGGTTGTCATGACGTTCTGTGTGTCTGGGACTCAGATGCCGTTACTCATGGTGACATTAAGGTGAGGGTCACACACGGGGAATGTCAAGGTCATGTAACTTTGATTTTGCTTTGAAATGACGTCTCCACCTTGAGGATGTATAGTTTTCTTGAACAGATGACATTTACTTTTACACTTGACAAAATATATATTGAAAGAATGGCTTTGGAAAATCTGATTGGGGAATTCAGGAAAACATGGTCACTGCGATGCTTGAGATTTACATATTGTGTAAACAGCGTACTTGTAAAGACAAAGGGAATTTAACATGTCAAACGAAAATGCTTAAGTGGTGATTGGGACCTCTTTCATATGTACCCATTGTTGACAGTAATGAAGTTTAGTTGATTAATACAAACAACTAACTTTGTCTATGTTGCTCTATTGTGTGCAGGTCTGTTGGAGAAGAAGAAAGAGCGTTTGCCCTTGGAATGCAGTTTGTTATCATGAGACTGTTCGGTGAGTTAAAAGAACTACAGTTTGGCCAGTGAGTAGTAATACACACAGCTAGGTGACCTGCTTGTCCTAATGCTCAGACAACAATGTGGAGTAATACACACAGCTAGGTGACCTGCTTGTCCTAAAGCTCAGCTAGGTGACCTGCTTGTCCTAAAGCTCAGACAACAATGTGGAGAAATACATAGAGCTAGGTGACCTGCTTGTCCTAAAGCTCAGACAACAATGTGGAGAAATACATAGAGCTAGGTGAACTGCTTGTCCTAAAGCTCAGACAACAATGTGGAGTAATACACAGGTCTAGGTGACCTGCTTGTCCTAAAGCTCAGACAACAATGTGGAGAAATACATAGAGCTAGGTGAACTGCTTGTCCTAAAGCTCAGACAACAATGTGGAGAAATACATAGAGCTAGGTGAACTGCTTGTCCTAAAGCTCAGACAACAATGTGGAGTAATCCACAGATCTAGGTGACCTGCTTGTCCTAAAGCTCAGACAACAATGTGGAGAAATACATAGAGCTAGGTGAACTGCTTGTCCTAAAGCTCAGACAACAATGTGGAGAAATACATAGAGCTAGGTGAACTGCTTGTCCTAAAGCTCAGACAACAATGTGGAGTAATCCACAGAGCTAGGTGAACTGCTTGTCCTAAAGCTCAGACAACAATGTGGAGAAGTACATAGAGCTATGTGACCTGCTTGTCCTAAAGCTCAGACAACAACGTGGAGAAATACACAGAGCTAGGTGACCTGCTTGTCCTAAAGCTCAGACAACAATGTGGAGTAATCCACAGATCTAGGTGACCTGCTTGTCCTAAAGCTCAGACAACAATGTGGAGAAATACATAGAGCTAGGTGAACTGCTTGTCCTAAAGCTCAGACAACAATGTGGAGAAATACATAGAGCTAGGTGAACTGCTTGTCCTAAAGCTCAGACAACAATGTGGAGTAATCCACAGATCTAGGTGACCTGCTTGTCCTAAAGCTCAGACAACAATGTGGAGAAATACATAGAGCTAGGTGAACTGCTTGTCCTAAAGCTCAGACAACAATGTGGAGTAATACACAGAGCTAGGTGACCTGCTGGTCCTAAAGATCAGACAACAATGTAGAGTAATCAACAGAGCTAGGTGACCTGCTTGTCCTAAAGCTCAGACAACAATGTGGAGTAATACATAGAGCTAGGTGACCTTGCCTGGTCTCAGGTGAAACAATTCCCAATCGGACATTTTGGACCCAGCTCCTGAGAACTACAGCTGGTACCCGGGCAGGGTCGGGTAATAGGGTGTCGGGTACCTGGGTTGTAAATCTGGGCTTGTCGGGTAATAGGGTGTCGGGTACCTGGGTTGTAAATCTGGGCTTGTCGGGTAATAGGGTGTCGGGTACCTGGGTTGTAAATCTGGGCTTGTCGGGTAATAGGGTGTCAGGTACCTGGGTTGTAAATCTGGGCTTGTCGGGTAATAGGGTGTCGGGTACCTGGGTTGTAAATCTGGGCTCGTCCCAGCCCTTTTGAGTAAAACATGTTTTGACAGAAAGCATGAAGCAGCTGTGCAGATATTCATTGTTATCCTATTGTAGTGTCTGGTTGGATCATAATCACTGGATCGTCTTGTCCAGACACCAACATATAGCTGGAATATTGCTGTGTGTGGCATTCAACAGAAGTACTGATCTGGAAATTTATGATTATTTATTTTATTTCCACCAAGATTATATTTAAGGCCCAATTTTTTGTCAACCAAATAAATATAAAAGGCCTGATGAATCCATAGGGACGAAATGACCACTATAAGTATTTTGTGTTGTGTTTCAGCATATATCCCTGCCCCGATCATGTTCGGTAACGCCATCGACACTTCATGTCTGTTGTGGAAACAGAAATGTCGGGACTACGGACAGTGTCTCCTGTATGATATCGTGCAGTTCAGATACAAATATGTGGGTGAGTCACTTTACACATCAACACCTCATGGAAGAGTTACAGTGAGGCTAAAAAATATAATAGTCTTGGTTCTCAGGCACAGCCCACATTGTCATAAAGTCAGCCACTCATTTTGTTGTTATTTCCATTTTCAAAAAAAATAAAAAATCGTAATACAGTAAACTATGGTTATAACGAACACGCTTATAACGAACTGACTTTTTGGTCCCGACTACTTGCTGTAGTTATGCTGTGTATATGCTTATAACGAACTACGGTTATAACGAACTAAAATTAGTAGTCCCTTTGAGTTCGTTATAACCGTACTTTACTGTACTTAAAAACAGTGCGATCCAATATAGCACACAGTTACTTCCCTTTACATGCGCACTGCTTTACTATGCATCTCTTATTAGTATGGTATTTCCTGACATGAACATTTGAAATATTTGGTTTGTGCATGTGTTTGCTATGTTTAGGTCAGTGTCGTGGAATATCTCCTTCACAAGCTGTTGTTTGCTATGTGTAGGTCGATGTCATGGTATATCTCCTTCACAAGCTGTTGTTTGCTATGTGTAGGTCAGTGTCGTGGAATATCTCCTTCACAAGCAGTTGTTTGCTATGTTTAGGTCAGTGTCATGGAATATCTCCTTCACAAGCTGTTGTTTGCTATGTGTAGGTCGATGTCATGGTATATCTCCTTCACAAGCTGTTGTTTGCTATGTGTAGGTCAGTGTCATGGAATATCTCCTTCACAAGCTGTTGTTTGCTATGTTTAGGTCAGTGTCATGGAATATCTCCTTCACAAGCTGTTGTTTGCTATGTTTAGGTCAGTGTCATGGAATATCTCCTTCACAAGCTGTTGTTTGCTATGTGTAGGTCAGTGTCGTGGAATATCTCCTTCACAAGCTGTTGTTTGCTATGTGTAGGTCAGTGTCATGGAATATCTCCTTCACAAGCTGTTGTTTGCTATGTGTAGGTCAGTGTCGTGGAATATCTCCTTCACAAGCTGGTGTTTGCTATGTGTACGTCCATGTTGTGGCATATCTATTTCACAAACTGTTGTTTGCTATGTTTAGGTCAGTGTCATGGAATATCTCCTTCACAAGCTGTTGTTTGCTATGTGTAGGTCAGTGTCGTGGAATATCTCCTTCACAAGCTGGTGTTTGCTATGTGTACGTCCATGTTGTGGCATATCTATTTCACAAACTGTTGCTATGTGCAGGCATTGGTGCTGGGCTGAAGATTATGGGTCTGCTCTTCTTCACGGCTGTCTGGTTCCTCCTCCACCGCCGAGGCCTCGCAGAATCTCGCACAGAGTTGACAGTAAGTGCGAAGATACAATGCACAGTAGTTGAACAGCTCTGTTGACATATCCCCTGAAACAACAAAGCTTGCGGAGCTGAAAATTAGCAGGAAGGTTCTCATCTATGCTGCCTCTGTAAAATTCTACCAGAATTCCAATCCGATTTCGATCATGCCTGCAGCAGCCAGTTTTGCTAGCTCATTATTGATCTTTGTCACCATAACAATGTTGAAGTATTATTCCTATTAGAATTATTTCTTCATTATTCAGGTGAGCTACAGAGCTTTGTGGCTCTGTTAACAACCATGAAATGTTCATAACATCTGTTATTAGTTGTCAAGAAAACATGTAAAACATTCTTCATTCAACTGGTCCTCGGTTTCCAGACAAGACTGATCTTGGCCATGTTCCGGAGAGCGATCTTAGCGCGATGATGATTTTACTTAGACTTAGGCTTACAATAGACGTAGTGCGAAGTTCGCTTTGTGGAAATGGGACCTGGGACAGATTTCTGGAGGATAAATATTTTCGATTGTAACTATTTTATCTAAGAGGTACTTGTCAAGACTGATTTCAAAAATTGGTGCCGTAAATTGTACTTTTATAGAGTTATGGCCCTTGCAACATGTAACTTTTTTTCTAATTAGTACATAGTGTCTGCAATGGGGAAAGTAAAATCAGATTTTCTGATTCTAATGTGCCCCATGGCCAGGAATAGTGATAACACTGTTTTCTTGTTTGCCAATGATAACAAGGTCTAGAGGCCAGGACAATATAATGGTCTTTGTTGTTTCCTAGATTATAACTTCAACATATATCAAATATGGAGGAATGTATCCTCCCCCACCACAAAGTGGGAGGGACATATAGGAATTGTTGCTGTCCTGTCGTCAGTCCATCTTGGAGCATAACAAAAAGACTGTCGTTCGACATGTCTTGACTAGAGTCTGGTGCCTTTCATTATTTAGGAATTTTTTAAAATTATTTTTTTTCTGGTTTCCATGACATTCCAATCATTGAGTGGATCATTTACAGAACGTCAATCATGAACCTTCTACTTTTAAAAGTTTTAATCTTGTATATATTTTTTTGATTCAATCAAAACAAATAGTATACCACAGCTTATCTGATGATTGCGCTGTTAAGTCCACTCATGTACATGTATAAGTACAAATCACAACACTAAACCTATCTTTCTGTCATAATGATGATTATTAAATGTTTATTGCCTCTTCTTTGTTACAGCCACTTATTTGTAAAATTAACTTAAAATATTTTTTTCTCAAACGTGTACTGGCTAGCAACGAATTATCGCCAACTCCATGTTATAACACGCACGTTATCGCATCTCATTTTACTTTGCTCGTTTTCATTAGAAGAGAGACATTTATCCAAACAGTCTTTACGGAGAAGGCGCATTTTCATGACAGGTGAGATAGCCTACGGCAGAGGTGCACACGTCATGACTAATTTTCTGTTTCAGGTTCAAGACATCATGAGCTCTATGAGTTCTATAGACAAACTTGACCTTGATCATCGACAAAGACTGAAGGAGCCTGACAAGGTCGACCCTGAACACGAGTCCCACGACACGGAGCCTTCTGCTAGTGATGTGATGGTACAGCGGGACGTCTTCACCTGCTCCACCCCGAGAGAGTCTGTTTTGTGATACATGTGATCCAGATATATGATACATGTGATCTGGGGACATGAGTCTGGATGAAATGAAAGACAATAGCGACTGTTTATATTTGCCGAACAATACGTGATAGTGTGGGTCATGTGTAGAATGACCATTGTATGTTGCAGATGTACTGTATATATTTAATACCACAAAATCTCTTTACGCACCCAGAATAAGCTTGCACACATTGTTTCAGTCTGTTGTTAGACAGAAGGGAACTATGGAAGATGTGTGTTAGATTGACAGACAGAAAGTAATCGCTGTAAAGTACCTGCAATTATCAGCCCAAACTATCAACACTGACTTTTGAAAAACAACTGTGCAAAATGAGAACAGATTTGGGAATATCTAAAGTACTTAAATTGTGATTTTATATATGAACAGGAATGTGTTTTTTTGAAAGACGTATGGATTGATTATACCAGATTTTTTTGAAAGGTGTATTGAAAGAGAAGAAAAACATCATGATAATAGGCGTAGTCATGAAAGTATGCAACATTTTGATGCAGAGCTCATTGAATGACACAAAGGAAGACATGCCTTGGAGTGGCAGTCCTAACATGGTTCAACTTCGTTTGGAAAAGTAGTATTGTATTCAGGTATTTGTGTTTCTTTCTGTTGAGATCAAGTACTGAGGAGTTGTTTTTCTGTGTATCCCATATCATTTTGTTTTATTCATTGTTTGGGGGTTGGGGGGGGGCCCAAGCAGTTCGAACTGCTACAATTTACTTTGTAGATTTATGGCCCTTAGCTGAACCAGGATCTGCCAATTCAGCCCACTTATGATCCTAGGTTTACATGTCACCAACATTCTTGTGCCCATGGCATTCATCAGAGTGGTGACTATGTACAATCTGCCTCTCAACCCAACTCACTCACTCACTCACTCACTCACTCCACCATTTATCCGACATGCCATCATGGAACTGGGTACTGTTCACAGCGGTGTTCACAGCTGTGTTCACTCTACTAATGTTCACAATACTCTTCAACATAGGCTACACTGCTGGACCAATCAAATTTGCTTCAAACATATCAACTAACGTACGGATACTTTTCATCATGTATTGTGATCAAACTACTCATGATATTAAAACAATCAATCATTGAAACTTTATAAATCACTGAAATTTGTGTCATTATGGAAGATATAGATTACTCATAAAAGTTAAGGATAACCCTTTTCTTTCACATTACTACAGTTAATCTGTCATGGCATCACAGATTAACTAATATGAACGAACTGATCCTTATCCCTCTTTCTTAGAAGTATCTATACATATTATAATATATTACATATATATATTACAATTATTACCAATCATATCAAGTTAGGATCATGGAAAAATTTAACCATTTAATCTGGTACATGTATTGAAAGTCTGCACCATATCAATGCTATATGAAAGGTCAGATTGTGTTTACAGAAAGTGTATCTTGCAGATAGCATACGTTGGTAAACAATAACCATTAATACACTTGACATTTGATTTTCTTAACAGGCACTAGTCACTCATGTCGTGAAGACAGAAAGCCTGATTATTATGTAGTGGTTAATCCTAGGGACTATGACTACTGCAGGCTTTTACATGTTTGAAAAACCAATTAAATTCTTGTATAACCTTTCACGAAACCCATATCATGAAATCTATATTCACTGGAAAAAGTTGTTTTTATAGTTTGAATTGTTTTGTGTTTTGATGTTGTTTCCTCAGAACACGTATCATTGATGGGTATTGAAACTGTTACCATGGTTACTATACTCCTTATGTTATGTTTGTTTTATGTACAGCACCATTTGTTTGATGTCTGTTATATATTTTGTTGATCAGTTGTCCGAGAATATAACACTTCATACGATTACCTCACCAAGGCCAGACCAGTTTCATTTCTTAGAACTGGGAGTCATCTTCCTGAGTCCAGTTTCCACCCTTGCTGAACCAGGCTCGATCGTTGCGCCACCTGTGGCTATTACAGGTTATGTCCCTTCTATGTTCCTCCTATTGACCAATCAGATTCCACCTTTCATATCACTTACAGTTGCTTCAAACAAAATGGCGGCGCCCAGTCAAGATCTATAGTGTAATAAAACAGGCCTTACCTTGCAAAGTGCATCAAATCATTTAAGCACCCCGATTATAACCATGAAAAGATTTGCAAAATATCTGTCAACGTTGGTACATAAGCTTTGCAAATCCTTCAGTCAACCAAAATTTGCACGTTGAAATCCATTATGTTCAAGAATTGGATGTCTAGTTCGTTATGCAATTTTGATTGGACTATGCATAGACTCGTTAGTCCAGCCATAATGTAACTCCGGAATTCCAGCCTGGTTCGGCAAGGGTGGAAACTTGACTTTTATAGTCAGTTAACTCACTTGCCTCGGGAAGATGAATGGGAATATGATGTTTGATTTAAAATATGTTTTGTCCTCTTTTGTTTGCATTTTGTAAATGTTTTTGTCTCAAGGTTTGTTTCAGGAAATTAATACATCAAACCTGATGGAAAAAAAATCCATTATTTTACTTCCAGATTCTTGGTATATTGATAGAAAACAAATTGGCCTGGCCTAGGTATATAAGCTCAGTCTGTTATATATTATTAATATGGCACTATTGCATCTATATTGTTTTGTCGTAACATGTTATATTATGTGGGGACCATTTTCATATTATTGCCTGACTAGTTCTCCTTGTTTAAAGCTTTCTATGCTACTCAAAAGAAATTAAAGAACACTGGATTCTTTCACATTACTATAGTTAATTTGTCATGACATGACAGACTTACTGTAGTATAAAATAAGCACTTCCTTAACTTCTTTTGAGTAGAAAGTAATCAGATTACAACGAAACTGACAAATGACAGATTTGGAGAGTGATTCCTTCTGCACATTTTTAAAAAAAAAGTTTGTGTGGTTTTTTTCTAAAGCTTGTCACCATATGAAGGAACATGAATCCTGCCTCCCACTTCACTGGTCCATCCAGCATTATGTTCTGTATAGAGGAGCCAATCTGGAGACACGCACGCACTATCTCGAGAGTTTTATTTTACTGGTTGTGAATGGGTATTATTTCAGTAGGATAGATGTTTATTATGAAGTTATGAGGAGTGATTGTTCATCTTGGAATGGTCTTTTGTATAGGGAGGTCGCCTTTGTGGATTGGGGCGTTGCCTCTGTGGATAGAGGAGGTGCCTTTTGTAAATTGGAATGTCGCCTTTGTGGATAAGGACGGTGCCCCTGTATATTGGGATGTTGCCTTTGTGTATGGGGAAGGCATCTTTCTACTGTAAGAGTCCCGCTGTATGAGAATGGCATTTTTGTACAGGCTTGTGTCTTGGTATTTGGAGAAAGTCTTTTTGTACAAGTGAGGGTCTTTATGTACAGGTGAAGGTTCATTGTACGCACATGGCCTCCGTGGCACTAAGGATGGTCTCGGTACTGTTTCCTGAATGGGGACTATTTGTTCGTGGACAGTCGTACCGTACCCTGCTACTCAGGGTCCACCTCTGCTGTACATCTGTTGGACACGTATTGATGGCAGCTCACCAAGTACCTTACTTCACTTCTCAGGCTACAGAAAGTGTACATGCAGGTAGATTTAGCTCTAATTTGTGGTGATATTTGAACATCGATGAGCACAACCTCGAGACACTTCTATCAGGGACATGAGACTCTCCCTGTTGTCTCCTCGAACTGTTGCTGCACGCACACCTGATACTGGTCTTGCTCCGTACATTGGCAGTACCTTCATGTTCTTATTTGTAGTGGATGCGGTGTTTTATTTTGGAAGCTTCAAATTGCCTGGTTTGGTAGGCATGTGTTTCATGACTACTCAATAAGAGAACGCCTGATTCTTTCATATTATAGCCAAAATCAGACCCTGGGTCAGAACAGAGCATGGCCATGTGCCGATCCATCGAACTCAAATGGATCTAACCTCATCTCGCTTTACGTCATAGTAAAAAAAATCGTGGCATGACAGTGTGTTTGTTGTTTAACGCCACACTCTGCAATATTTCATCTATATGACGGCGGTCTGAAATATAATTGAGTCTGGACCAGACAATCCAGTGATTGACATCGTGAGCATCGATCCACGCAATTGGGATCGATGACATGCATTAACAAAGTCAACAAACTTGACCTACCGATCCCGTTAGTCGCCTCTTACGACAAGCATAGTTGCCTTTTAAGGCAAGCATTCTACTCCGGGTCGGAGAGATAAGCTATAGTAATATGAAAGAATTTGGTGTTCTTTAACTTCTTTTGAGTAGTATATTATGTATGCTTCACAAGCTATGGTAAAGTCTTTAATCTATGTCAAGTTTATGTCACTTTGCGTCGTCTACAGGGACGCAGTGGAAATGCGATAAGTCTTGAAACTTTTGTTTTTTTCTTTTCTTTGAGGTTGGTTAATTTGGCAGATTCACCTGGGTTTGTCCCATGGTGTCATTATTATTTGTATAAGTCAAGGAACCAACAGCAGGTTATTGTTTCACGACATTAATGATAAGTTATGCATATTCTCTCAATCACATTTCATCTACTCCTTTCTTTTACATATTTGATTTTGTGTGTGTGTTAAAGCCGAAATTTTGTGTGTTTTTTTGTCACCTGTTGATTTATTTGTTGGAGATGAGGCTTGGACAGGAACACCTCACAGTGTTGGCTTGTGATGAGGGACACCATGGAAGCCATCTCACACAGCTGATCAGTCTGGACACTGACTCGGTGACTAAATAGTTGATCACTGTATTCTTCGTACAATATTAGAGTGGTGGTTAGTCTATACTGTTGTTTATGTGTGTTAGCAATCTTAACCAGAGTAACGATTCTGTGACATTACATCAACGCAGTATATTACTGTACACCAAGGTCCTGAAACAAGATCCTCAATTTCTATTTCAATTTCAATTTGACGGCATTAGGACAATGTGTGTGACAGACTCACGTATGTCACATCGTGTGGCAGTGGAGTAGCCAGGTGGTAGAGGAAGTGGTCGATTTCCCACATTGGCACATTACCCATTCAAACATTATAATATTTTTTCATCTTGTGACAATGAAGAATGAGGTCGTCCCAGTTATTGGACACAATGACTGGTTGGGCAGTCAGTGTCGGAACTGAACAGTGTTAAGATCTGAAACCGTCAATGATTGTTTTATGGTGTCACTGATGAGTGTATATATTTCTTGTATTACTGCTATGCAGCGGCCATTATTATCCTGCGGGCATGACAGTTCAAAATGGAAAAGTGTCCAGTTTTTATAAAACTCATCACAGAAGCAACAAGGCAGACTGTCATATCTGGGAATGACAATGACCGTTACCATTTATAAGCAGATATTGTCCTCATATTTCCTGCCATGTACATATATTTACATTTGCTATGATACAAACATGTAAATATCTATTTGAAAGCATTGGAAAGTATGTAAGGGAGACAACTCAGGTGTTATCGATTTGACTGGAAACCTGCATTAGAGATGAGATTTAGATCTAGCCTGGGCATCTAGTACAAGCTTCTTCATCGCCTACAGGTATTTGTGTTGCTGTGAACATATCTGTTGGTCAGTGTTATTTATGAAAGTGTTTGTAGATCTTTCCTGAAAAATGATCATGGACAAATGACTGATAGTTTAAATGCTGTTTAGACAGAATATTGAAAACATATAGTCTGTTTACAGAAGATAACATAAAGCAGTACTGGTACCTGAGTGTTTCATCATTGCTGTTCATATCATGTGCCAATGTATGTCATTTACAATATCAAATATTCTGCATATCCCCCCAAATATTGGAAGATATTATTATTTACTTATATATGTATTGAAGATAATTTCTATATACACACATATTTACACAACTTTATGAGCCGATGTATGGTTTAGATCTTCAGTGATATTGCCTCTTCCTGATACTCCCATCCATATGGACCTATTGCCTGGTGTGTACTCTAGTCATTATCTAGCCATGATCTAGTCACATGGTGGATGTACTTGTTGCAGAGGGGTGTGTGCTCTAGTCATTATCTAGCCATGATCTAGTCACATGGTGGATGTACTTGTTGCAGAGGGGTGTGTGCTCTAGTCGTTTTCTAGTCATGATCTAGTCACATGGTGGATGTACTTGTTGCAGAGGGGTGTGTGCTCTAGTCATTTTCAAGCCATGATCTAGTCACATGGTGGATGTAACCTTTGCATGAATGGAGTATATTTCCTCTTCCAACGACTTTGAAACATTTGGAACCCGATCATCAGATGTTCTGTATATCCTCTGTCAAGGGCCGGGTCTAGGGTTAAGGTCTTGAAAACTGAGCTTGGCCCTAAGGGACGGATCGGTAACTTGTTGATCATTTTTTCTTCCCTTTGCATTTAAATATCAATGAACTGGCTAACCTCTAAGATGGGCCTTTAATATGGCCCGGGTCCTAAAGTATGCCAGGGCCCAAGGTCTCAATAGAGGAAATGTGGTACATGGTATTGATGGGCTTTCAAATATATATAACAAAATCAAATTTGTGCACACGAAGTTCTATGGAGTATTTGCACTGACTTCTTTGGGTTCTATTGATGCAATTGCTGTTCCAGGCAAATCTACAATCATGTTCTCGTCCCCATTTTAAGAATTTTCTTTTTGATGGAGACTTTTTTTCAAAATGTGTTACACCTTTGTCTATTCACTTTCCTAGTCACTACGTATTTATTTGTATACACTCTTCACATAGGAATAATACAACTATATGACACTAACCTAGTATATACATTTCTCACTAATGGCATACAGGTCTAAGATATACTTCATGGCACCAATTGGATTACAACCCAACTGTCCATTGTAGTCCCGATCGATGCAACTGTGTATGAGTGCCATTGTGTATTTGAAATGCTGTCGTTAGCAACACTATCATTGTCTTGACAAGATTGATGTGTAAGTGGGAGCTGTCAGTAGCAACACTGTCATTGTGTCATGACAAGGTTGATGGTGGGAGCTGTCGGTGGCAACACTATCATTGTGTCATGACAAGGTTGATGTGTAAGTGGGAGCTGTTGGTATCAAAATTTTCATTATGTCATGACAATTGATGGTGGGAGCTGTCGCTGGCAACACTATCATTGTGTTATGACAAGGTTGATGGTGGGAGCTGTCGCTGGCAACACTGTCATTGTGTCATGACAAGGTTGATGGTGGGAGCTGTCAGTGGCAACACTATCATTGTGTCATGACAAGGTTGATGGTGGGAGCTGTCGGTGGCAACACTATCATTGTGTCATGACAAGGTTGATGGTGGTAGCTGTCGGTGGCAACACTGTCATTGTGTCATGACTAGGTTGATGGTGGGAGTTGTCGGTGGCAACACTATCATTGTGTCATGACAAGGTTGATGGTGGGAGCTGTCGGTGGCAACACTATCATTGTGTCATGACAAGGTTGATGGTGGTAGCTGTCGGTGGCAACACTGTCATTGTGTCATGACTAGGTTGATGGTGGGAGTTGTCGGTGGCAACACTATATTGTGTCATGACAAGGTTGATGTGTATGTGTGAGCTGTAGTCAGAAGTATCCTGTGAGGAATAAGTATGTGTTTTTGCCAGCGCGTGCCTTGCCATACCTAGTCACATGTGTGGGTGTCTGCAGCTGAGTAACGATGTCGTATCTGTAGCTGTTTGAGATGTTGAATGTTGATATTGTCAGCAAGAAGATGTTTGTTATGAAAGTTTAGATCACTGTGAACTTACAGCTACTGCAAACAATGAGCTTTGGCCTAAAGCCTTTGGCATGAGATAAGAATGAGCTTGTACCATATTTCTAGTTTAAAATATCACTTTTGTTAGTTACACCAGGGATAACTGTAAGAATATCTGTTGATGCATGGAAGTATGCCACTGGGATTTTTGTTTGATCAACTGACGCTGGTGTTATTTTAAAAATGTAATTCAGAAGAAACCCTGTCCCTTATGATCATTTGAAATTTGCCATAGGCACTCTTAATAAGGGGATGTAACTCTTTGTATAAGGGAGATAATTCTCACACGAGGCAAAATACCAGGTCAGTTATCTACTTAGTTTTATTACCTCATATCCACCATGTCAACTTGAGAATGTCATACCCTGCATTTGTACACAGTAGTAGTTAACTTCTCTTTAAATGTTAGGCAAGACTCTCTTTGTTAATGGATTACTCCAACACCCCAAAAATGATCAGCAAAAACAATAGAATATATGTTTTCTGCCAATTGCAAACTGTTCCATCATAAATACGTTATTCATATGATAGTTTAAACAGCATCAGCGAGATAAGCTTAAGTACATTTGTTTATTGGTGGTTGTTTTTTCCCCGCCTACCCACCAGGACTTTTTCTAAAAATTATCTGTAGACCAAAGTCACCTTATAGAAAGATGTGAATTGTTAGATGATGCTGCGGCCATGGTGTGCTCATGGCTGTCATTTAAGACTTGTTAGTTAGTTTGGCCAGAAAATGATCCTAGGGACGTATTGTCAGCAAGATTCAGTGTCACAGGGGAACACCGTAGGACACTTGCTTTACCTCAAATCTGCCATGGAGAACACAGACTTCTCAACTGAGAGTGGGTTCACCACATTAATCAAAACTGTATGTTTAATCAAATTGATTTGTGTTAAATGATGGATCAGACACATGTTCAAATTATATATATACTGCTCAATAGAAGTTAAGGACCACTCCATTTTTCCTATGACTATATATAGTCAATCGGTCATGGCTGGTGGGTATTGCAACACAGCCTTCCCATCATGGGTGTTCTTTAACTTGTTTTGAGTAGTATATTTCTCTTATTCTCAGTGGCAGATTTCTAATACAGTGCTCTTACCCTTCATTTTGTTGAAGTAGTCTTTATGACTGCAGTGAATGTGAATCTATGTGATGTTAACTTGTATCAGGTCTGTTGTTGCAATAAACATGATAGTTTCTGGAAGTGCTGGCTTTTAATCCCATCTGTGCATATATACTCTCCAAAAGAAGTAGGTGATCATTAAATATCAAACAATAGTTGTCATTGTTAATAATTCAGCGAATACTACCTCCATTATATCGGTGCTAGAAATTCTGTATTTGGGCTGACATCACACAATAAAAAAAATCTTCAGATTTTCAACGTAAGTTCTAGTCACAGTCAACAATCCATAATCAGTTGTGATACTAGTAGTAACTTGCTATGCCTCGCTCGCGCAAGGCGGGAAAGCCTCATTTCTTTCCAACATCCGTCTTTCTTTGTTATTTGCACTCTTACAATACACCGTCAACATTGCAGTGTTACCCTTCTTGACTTCCTCAAAGTACTCGTGTAATACTGCAATTCGGCAATGATCACTTTGTTAGCTTTTTGATGCATGACTCTGCAATATTTCAGCTATGACTCTAGTCTGAAAAGAGAAAGTGAGTGGACCAGACAATGTAGGTACTGTAATGAGCAACAATCAGTGCCGTTTGGGTACAAGTAATGCAATAAACTTGTCACTGAGCCTGACCACCGAATGCATCAAATCTCCTCTTAAATAAGCAAAGGTCCTGACATGCCCTGATATAACTGGAGTACTGTCAAAAGTGGTTTTAAACCAGATTCGCTCACCTATCTAACCCAGGATCCCCACGAGTATGAAGATATACTCATGTAACACTTGCCTTGGGATACGGAGATATTTCATACCATTGTGAAACTGGAGGTAATAACTTCTTGTCTGTTTAACCTAAGGATGAAGCTGGAACTGCTTCAGTTACAAGAATACCAAATAATCAAACACGGTTTGTATGAAAACATCTCCAAGCAATCCGTCCCCACCTATACTCCCAGATTATCAGGGCTCAGATTACTTTTCAGCAGCAGGAATATGTACTCCTGATTATTTTAATATAGGAGTATTGGCAATACACTTGGCGTACTGAATGGAATGTAATGGATTAATTTTGTATTTCATTTTAGATATCCACCACAGGATTGCTGCTCTTGTGTAAATAAACAGACAACAAAAATAATTGAGTAGTATCATGTGGCCATTAATATGAATCTTACCCGTAATATATGTGCTGCTATCGTCAATTTGGGTACAGTCGTTAATGTCCTGGGCAGGATATTTACCCATGTTAGTATTCAATAGTTTGACAACTATGCCAAAGTCTGTATATTTGTTTTCTGCCACAGTCCGCAATATAATCACACAAGGCCAGACAAAACAGTGATTGATATTACGAGCAACATCACACAGTTAAAGTAAGCAAGTAATCAAGCCGGTCCAACCAATCCAATTTAGTTAGTAGTGTGTTGGGGATTCTTCTAACCCTGGTGCCCAGTGGGTTTGTCCCACACACCCTCCTAGGTATATATTTTACCATACGTACATCTCCCAGGATACTGGTCGTAGCAGATGAAATAAGGAATTGGGTGGTCAGGCTGTTATTTGGTTGCATAGCGTATCATATCCAAGGGCAGATCCATTATTTTTAAGAGGGAGGGGACCCTCTGGACCCAACCTCTGGATCTGCCTATGATACTCTGATGGGATGTATCTCAATACCAATCACTGGTCCAGATGCCAATATCTGAAGACTGTGGCCATAAAGCTGGAATAATGGGTAGCGAGTGCAGTGTTAAACAACAAATAAACCACATCTTGAAAAAAGTATTGAACAAAGAAATCTTTGATATTAGTTTGTTTATTTGTGTTTGCCGAATTATGTTACTGTGTTCAGAGAGCAACAAGTTCACACAGAAAGGTAGGGAAACAAGGATATCGAGAGCAACTAAACATAATCTATGTCATGTTTGCAAACTGCGGACGTTAACATGGACAAAAGACATGATAAGCATACAATAATAATGTGTATGAGTTGCCCCAGAAAAGACACAAGTAACTCCAGACTGATTCCAGCTGCTCTCTCCATCAACTTCACTTCCATGACCACAAGTTATATACACAGCCGTTAACATTTAGTAGGAAACAACCAGTCGTTTTGTTAATTTATTGGGGAGGTAGGAGGGAAAGATAAGTATTTTCTTCTCTTTTTTTATTTCAGTGCTCAATTATTTTTCCCTCCATAAACCAGTGCTCAATCAAGTCTTTAATATTAATATGAATAACCAACTGTCGTCTTGTCTGCAAGAAAAATGGTGCGTTATGTTTCCCTACAAAATCAAGCATATGCAAAATAATTCAGTAAAAGGACTTGATTATCTTTTTAAGAAACATCACTTTTCTTTTCCCCAAACAAAAACAAAATGGTTGCTCCCTAATTAACACATTTCCGTACATAAGACGATATATAGAAAAATGTAGAATATGGTTACCTTAATCATGTTAATGTGTGATAAGGATACTCAAATAAGAAACATTGACATATATTTGCAAATTTACTGTAAGGGAAGGTATAATCTACAAATGTGTAAACCATTCAATACTGCTTGGTCATAAAAACTAATTTCTTGGAATAAAGGAAACTATTGGATAAATCCATATTTTGATTGGTGACATCCCATTCAACATTCCCTAAGTACCTGATCCAGACAATATTCAGTCCAAACAACCGAGTATTACACAGCACCAATATTATACATCTGCAGACACAGCCTCAACATCCACCAATCCTGAACATAAACTCTTCTGTTACCACAATAACCACAACCTTAATAATTTGCCAGTCAGAGCATGCCCCCGCTCCCAACCTGATCACTAACATGAATTTAGTTCTGTTAATGATCACAACCATGACAACCATATTTACCACTGATTCAGAAACAATCTTACCTGCTACTGCTTCTCTCAAATAACAATTATGTAGTATACTCGTAGACATTATCCGGTCTCAAATAGCAACACAGTATTGACAGTAACAATGTTAACTACCAGTACTCACAGACACTGCAATGTCTTCAATAGCAACACTGTTGCCTGCTGAGACACTGCCCTGTCTCAAATGGCAACAATGTTAACTACTCAGACCCTCCCCTGTCTCAAATAGCAACAATGTTAACTACTCATAGACACTGCCCTACCTCAAATAGCAACAATGTTAACTACTCAGACCCTCCCCTATCTCAAATAGCAACAATGTTAACTACTCAGACCCTCCCCTATCTCAAATAGCAACAATGTTAACTACTCATAGACACTGCCCTGTCTCAAATAGCAACAATGTTAACTACTCATAGACACTGCCCTGTCTCAAATAGCAACAATGTTAACTACTCATAGACACTGCCCTGTCTCAAATAGCACCAATGTTGACTACTCAGACCCTCCCCTATCTCAAATAGCAACAATGTTAACTACTCAGACCCTCCCCTATCTCAAATAGCAACAATGTTAACTACTCATAGATACTCCCCTATCTCAAATAGCAACAATGTTAACTACTCATAGACACTCCCTATCTCAAATAGCAACAATGTTAACTACTCATAGACACTGCCCTGTCTCAAATAGCAACAATGTTAACTACTCATAGACACTGCCCTGTCTCAAATAGCAACAATGTTAACTACTCATAGACACTGCCCTGTCTCAAATAGCACCAATGTTGACTACTCAGACCCTCCCCTATCTCAAATAGCAACAATGTTAACTACTCAGACCCTCCCCTATCTCAAATAGCAACAATGTTAACTACTCATAGATACTCCCCTATCTCAAATAGCAACAATGTTAACTACTCATAGACACTCCCTATCTCAAATAGCAACAATGTTAACTACTCATAGACACTGCCCTGTCTCAAATAGCAACAATGTTAACTACTCATAGACACTGCCCTGTCTCAAATAGCAACAATGTTAACTACTCAGACCCTCCCCTATCTCAAATAGCAACAATGTTAACTACTCAGACCCTCCCCTATCTCAAATAGCAACAATGTTAACTACTCATAGACACTGCCCTGTCTCAAATAGCAACAATGTTAACTACTCATAGACACTGCCCTGTCTCAAATAGCAACAATGTTAACTACTCATAGACACTGCCCTGTCTCAAATAGCAACAATGTTAACTACTCAGACCTTCCCCTATCTGAAATAGCAACACAGTTACCAACACTGAGAGTGCAAAATGTCATCTATTCATGTATGCCACCCTGGCTTAAATAGAAACAGTGTCACCTGGGAGACATCACCCTGCCTCAAAACAAGCTCAGAACAAGAGTGATTTGTTTTCTTTTTGACACTTAGCAGGATTGCAGCTACATCTTCAGTTGGTGCAACTGGAGACAATCAAGTTTGAAATCCCCATCTGACAGACCCTGCTCTCAGCTGACTGTTTAGTATGTTAGCTACATTCAAAGATTATACTGAGAGTGGATGAGTCTGGTTGTACACTGTTCAGTATTAAAGGAATATCACTGACGGGAAATACCACAAACTGGTTCACAACTATCTGTGACATGACAGCAATCTGTAAATAGCCAAGTAGACAATCCAGTGATTGACATCATGAGCATAGTTCCACACAACTGGGATACGATGACATGCATCAGCCACATGAATGAAACCCAATCCCCTAGTCGACTCCCAACAACAAGAACTGATTGCTGGAGACCCGGCTCTTCACAGGGCAGTTCACATCTGACCCATGAGCGGAATCAAACTTGGATCTGTAAGTCAATAATTTAACATTTCCTAGACATTCTAAAACATTCAACAGTTACCTGACTTCAGCTCTACACTGTTTTCCAGTAAACATGGTAAATTTCAGACTTCCATATCCACCCAACTCTTCACAAACACTAAAAATCAACCATTTCAATTTGGAATTATTTTGAACAAAGCAGCAATAGCAAACACGTCAACATTCCACCATGTGATATCTTATGCTGATATCCCACCATACACTACTATTAAAACCTAACTCCCCCTAATCCAGGTTGCGACAGGCAAACGTGATTCATTTGGGACCAGAAAAAGAATTGATGTGATAACAGTTCTGTACAAACAGGAGGGGGTCAATTTTGGTTGTATTCCATATGTTTGTTTGTTTGTTGTTTAATGCTGCAATCAGCAATATTCCAGCTGTATGACGGCGGTTTGTAAATAATCGAGTCTGGACCAGACAATTCAGTGTTTGACATCATGAGCATCGATCCACGCAATTGGGATCGATGACATGCATCAACCTAGTCAGTGAGCCTGACCACCCCATCCCGTAAGTCGCCTCTTATGACCAGCATAGTCACCTTTTATGGCAAGCATGGTATTCCATATGATCTATAATGCCCCCAAAACACAGTGTAAAATCACCCTCAATACTAGAGAGACAATGCAAAATATAGGAAATGACAAATCTGAGTCAAACAAAACATATCCGTGTCTGGATAAAATGTTAGAAAACGATGGATTTGTACTGGAGTTAAGTGATACAGTAAATAAAAGTTCTTAATTATAAGTGGTTTGTTAAATAGTCTAAAAAAATTAAAAACATTACTCTAAGAATAAAATAGAGTTTACATCAGCAGTCATAAAATATAATCTAAACAACCATAGTTAGCAACAGTAAATACTTAAGAATTGACCTTCACTTTGTGTGAGTTCATTGGAGTATGAACCTTCATAGGGTGAGGGCCAAACTGTATGAACATCGGAGCTTGCGTAGTACGTGTGACTTCATGTTTACACTGAAGGCCATACAACAACCAGCTATATCGCGGATTAAAATAGTTCCTCAAAAAGAGAGGTTACATGAGCGTATGGATGCACAACTTGCTCTTCAGAAACATCTTACGCAGCACATGTGTTCAAATCATATCCTCATTAGATGAAAAAGGTCTGTAAAGAGCTACCTCAGTAAGTCAGTCACAATAACAGCGCGTCGTAATACATTTACATCAAGTACAAGACGTCAAAATGGCCGACACGATAAACGTGACGGGAGAGATTTCCGAAGTTGTTAATGAACCTGTGGCGGTAACATGTGTTAGTCATCATTGATCAACTGGCCAATCATTGAAAGGTGATTAAAGATCCGTCAAACAGACACTAGGTAGTAAATTCGTAGATTGCTAGAGACAGTCACTGTCAGCCTAGACACGGATCGAGTCGATACTGAGATAGTTTGGATGTGCATTTCTTCGTTTGTCCATTAGGATGGGCCGTAGCGAGTATATTCGTGAACAATCATGCAGTCACGCTCTCTGACATTTCTCAATGTATACTGAAACACTGAGACCAAGAATAAAGGTTCTAAATGATCAGAAAGAACGCTTATGCATGTTTTCTTGCTAGGGAATTCCCGGGGGTTTCCCCAGGAATGTGGAAGTAGTCCGTCAGTGTTTACGTCATTTCAAGAACACGGTCTCGTGAAAAACGTATGAACGTCAAATTGTGTCGTTCATACACTTATGAACGTCAATTTCGCGGTCACGTGACCGACCTCTCGTCCAATGGAAAAGCCGTATATCGTGTAAACTTCAAATTAAAAAATCATAACATATTGGTTAGTAGGAAGAAATGATAATCAATTGTATCATCACACTGTATCATTCATTGGAGGAGTTAGGTCTTGTTCAAACTGTTGGCATGGCAAGACAATGCGACACGTCAGTCACGCATACAAAAATAACATCTTCCCATGTAAGAACTTCCAGGCAAACCTGTCATCTTTCTCCTACTGAATCTATAAAATACATTTGTTTGTCATACCCAAGCCTGCTACACTGTTTATACACATCCATGAACTAATTCACTGAGCCTCTCTGCCTGGTACTTCCTGACACTGCTAATATAGGTGGTACACAATAGGCTTGGAACTACCACTCATAAACACCTTTCAATGTTAATACTTCACAGTTTTCCTATACTTATATTTGTCACTTGGAACAGATACCAAACAAATACAAATAATAAAACCCAAACAAATCTTTGTAGAATTACTGTATTTTTAAATATTAAACTTCTACTTTATCATGTTTATTAGATTTGTACTGGCTCAGATATAACACAACCCTACTAAATACAAACACAAAGCTGAGATCCCTTGCGTCTATCAAAAAGACCAAAATATAATATATAATCAACTACACTTATCTCCCTTTGCATGATATACATCCAGCTTACAGACCATCACTGCAGGCTCTATGAAGGAGCATCACTGCAGGCTCCATGAAGGACCATCACTACAGGCTTCATGAAGGACCATCACTGCAGACTCCATGAAGGATCATCACTGCAGGCACCATGAAGGACCATCACTACAAGCTCCATGAAGCAGCATCAATACAGGCTCTATGAAGGAGCATCACTGCAGGCTCTATGAAGGAGAATCACTACAGGCTCTATGAAGGACCATCACTGCAGGCTCCACGAAGGACTAGTACTGCAGGCTCCACGAAGGACCAGAACTGCAGGCTCCACGAAGGACCATCACTGCAGACTCCATGAAGGACCATCACTGCAGGCTCCACAAAGGACAATCACTGCAGGCTCCACGAAGGACTAGTACTGCAGGCTCCATGAAGGACCATCACTGCAGGCTCCACAAAGGACAATCACTGCAGGCTCCACGAAGGACTAGTACTGCAGGCTCCATGAAGGACCAGAACTGCACGCTCCACAAAGGACAATCACTGCAGGCTCCATGAAGGACCATCACTGCAGGCTCCATGAAGGACCATCACTGCAGGCTCCATGAAGGAGCATCCCTACAAGCTCCATGAAGCAGCATCAATACAGGCTCCATGAAGGAGCATCCCTACAGGCTCCATGATGGAGCATCACTGTAGACTTCATGAAGGACCATCACTGCAGGCTCCATGATGGAGCATCACTCCAGGCTCTATGAAGCAGCATCAATACAGGCTCTATGAAGGAGCATCCCTACAGGCTCCATGATGGAGCATCACTGCAGGCTCCATGATGGAGCATCACTGTAGACTTCATGAAGGACCACTACAAGTTCCATGAAGCAGCATCAATACAGGCTCTATGAAGAAGCATCACTACAGGCTCCATGAAGGAGCATCACTGCAGGCTCCATGAATGAGCATCACTACAGGCTCTATGAAGGACCACTACAAGCTCCATGAAGCAGCATCAATACAGGCTCTATGAAGGAGCATCACTACAGGCTCAATGATGGAGCATCACTGCAGGCTCCATGAATGAGCATCACTACAGGCTCTATGAAGGACCATCACTGCAGGCTCCATGAATGAGCATCACTACAGGCTCTATGAAGGACCACTACAAGCTCCATGAAGCAGCATCAATACAGGCTCTATGAAGAAGCATCACTTCAGGCTCCATGATGGAGCATCACTGCAGGCTCCATGAAGGACCACTACAAGCTCCATGAAGCAGCATCAATACAGGCTCTATGAAGGAGCATCACTACAGGCTCTATGAAGGAGCATCACTGCAGGCTCCATGAAGGAGCATCACTGCAGGCTCCATGAATGAGCATCACTGCAGGCTCCATGAATGAGCATCAATACAGGCTCTATGAAGGACCACTACAAGCTCCATGAAGCAGCATCAATACAGGCTCCATGAAGGAGCATCACTGCAGGCTCCATGAATGAGCATCACTACAGGCTCTATGAAGGACCACTACAAGCTCCATGAAGCAGCATCAATACAGGCTCTATGAAGGAGCAGCACTACAGGCTCTATGAAGGAGCATCACTGCAGGCTCCATGAAGGAGCATCACTGCAGGCTCTATGAAGGAGAATCACTGCAGGCTCCATGAAGGACTAGTACTGCAGGCTCCATGAAGGACCATCACTCTGGGCTCTATGAAGTACAAACACTGCAGGCTCCATGAAGGACATTCACTGCAGGATCCATGAAGGGCCATCACTGCAGGATCCATGAAGGACCATCACTGCAGGATCCATGAATGTGTTTCCAGACTCTTGTTAACATTATGGTAAACGTCCCAGAATGGGTTAATTTTAAAATGTTATCATTGTGTTTTATTGTTTTTTCTGTAAATAAAACACAGCAAACAGGGTGTCCAAATCAACTGATTAATCATAAAATCATAAATAAAGGAGAAAATATACAATCCATGAATAACAATCTTACAAAAATACCAACAGTCAGTCTATATAACTATTAACCAAATGACCCAAGGGTTCAATCATCACTGGCAACTATGACAGCCTCAATCACTGATTTAACAATCATTGAGATTTTACCAACTACACCAGAAAAGTATTTAAAACGTCAATACCTTTTGACAGTGCTAATCCTATTTGAAGTAATCAAAACCCTCGAGGTCACCCAGGTAACAAAACCATAAAACTTGCACCACTCATAGGAAAATAAACATTGAAATATAACGTGTACAACTAAGGGTGTGCATTGGTCAGCCCTCACAAGGTTGAAAGCACCTGCTCGTACAGGTGCATGTGACAGGTAAATCACCAGTGTTTGTGACAGGTAAATCACAGGTGTGACCATACATGTGTCACTGTCACACTTCATGTATATAGACCTCTGAAAGTCAACAATTATTTTCCTCATAATCAGCTACATTCTAAATCATTTGTGCAGTGTACTTGACAAAGATGTCGTAAGCATTTTATTATATATACAGTAAACTACAATTATAACGAACTCAAAGGGACCACTAATTTTAGTGTGTAATAACCGTAGTTCGTTATAAGCATATATACAGCATATATACAAGAAATGGCCGGGACTAAAAAATAAGTTCGTTATATCCATCAGTTCGTTATGAGCGTGTTTGTTATAAACGTAGTTTACTGTATTATTACCGGTACTTATTGTTGTTAAATTAATGTGGAACACAAACCTAAAAGTCTTATTTCCAAATGGCACCATTCAACTGTTAAAGCCCATCTGTTGCTGGTCTTATGACATTCCACAACTGTGTAACGATCTCATCCAGAAACTAACAAATACATGTTAATCTTTTCTGATCATAACTGCATTTCTTATCATAAATGATTAACATAAAAAGTCCACAGAAAAATTAGTTTAAATTAAAACTTCACTGTTTATGGTAATCATGCTAAAATCACATCAAAGTTGCATATAACTAGATTTAACAACAAAAGCAGTCAGTGTTAAGTATTTGTAAAACACGAAAAGCAGAACCAGTTGACCCACATCTTCCTTCAAATAGACTGAATACCTGCATTCACATAGAGATCATTTTACATTTTAGGTTCAACTTGGCAACTTGTCCATGGTTTCTTATAAAATAAGCTGTAATTTAAAAGTAAAGGCCCCAAATTTGACTGATTTCTCACTTGTGACTACCCCCACCCCCCGGATCTCCTACGACACTCATAAACTGGGGCTTACACCAACACTTCATCTAAATGATCCTATGCTGTTGTAAAGTATCTGGGCACTGTGATTTCTAATGTTAAAAAGCATACAAATACGTAACATGTGTCGATAAAATCAAATGCACATAATCTGAAATACCCGGAAAACAACAAGAATCAAGGAAGTTGCTCTATTGATTTTCAAAAATCCATGTTTTTAAAATAGAACCAACACCTCAAAATGAACATTTACTGAACAAACAAAAAGGGTTTGCGGGTGTAAAAAATGTCTCATTATCTTCACTTGAAGTGATTCCCAGAATAGTGAGAGAACTAAAACATTGTATGTCAGAAACAGGAGGGACGTAGACGCTCCAACTTGTTTCTAGTACAACAAATATACCTCGTACAAGTTAGGGGCACTACTGAGGCACTATCGTTTCCCATGTTGCTCCCATGTGTAAGGGCTGACCAACTGCTAAGCTGCAACTGATTAAATACAAACTCTGCTATATGACGAGCACGGATGAAACTAGCTGTGGTGCTCATTGTGGATGTGTCCTATCTATGAGGCCAAGACTGTGTCGGACATGGCTGTGTAGCTCTTGACTCGAGAGAATATCAGCGGAGGAAAATTCTTTGGCTTCAAGTCGAAGTTGTTGATGACTTCCTCCCCACTGGATCTGTGAAATCAAAGCATGAAGCTGTGTAATTAGGGGGTAAAATTCCTTCCATCTTGTGTTGATGGTCGTGAATCTTGGTTGACAAACGTCCCGATGCTTAAAGGTCACATACAGAAATGGGAACATACTTAATGCACAGTATGATTTACAAAATTAAAAAAAAGTATTCAGAAATAGTTGGTTGGTTGGTTGGTTGGTTGGTTGGTTTATTGTTTTACGCCGCACTCAGCAATATTCCAGCTATATGATGGCGGTCTGTAAATAATCTAGTCTGGACCAGACAATCCAGTGATTAATGTCATGAGCATCGATCCACGCCATTCGGATAGATGACATGCATCAACCAAGTCAGCGAGCCTAACCACCCGATCCCAGTTAGTCGCCTTTTACGACAAGCATGGGTTGCTGAAGACCTATTCTACCCCGGATATTTACGGGTCTATTCAGAAATGAAAAGGTTATATCAAATCTCAATGAAGAGAAAGGGGGCAAACAATTCAACATTACCACATTTGGGGAAATGACATTCACCGAGTTTAGTGATGGATCAAAATTATTCGAAACTGATTAAAGGTCTACTAAATTCTAAGATTATCCGTGGACAATTTAAGTTGATTGTTTTGTTCGTCAGGTGATCTCACGTATCATGTCCGGCAAGTTGGGAACTTTTTCCCTATTTTGTCAAGGGGTATCAGCATAAGGAAAGAAATCCTGAATTGCACCAGTTCAGCTAACTGCATGTTCTGACAACAAGGGTAAAAAAATTAAAAGGAATGGACTGTATTTAGTTACAGTGAGTGAGTGAGGATGGTTTTACGCCGCTTTTAGCAATATTCCAGCAATATCACGGCAGGGGACACCAGAAATGGGCTTCACACATTGTACCCATGTCGGGAATCAAACCCGGGTCTGCTGCGTGACAAGCGAACACTTTAACCACCAGGCTACCCGACCGCCCCGTATTTAGTTACAACTCATCTCTGTGGTGGAACTGAATCTGAACATAGAAACGGCGTTGAAGGGTTCTCCTCCTGACACACTAACCCGTGATGATCCGGATCAGAATTTGTCTTCAGCACCCCATGATTGTCGCAAGAGGCGACTAATGGGATAGTGTAGTCAGGCTCACTGACTTGGTTGATGCATGTCATCATATCCCAAATGTGTCGTTCTATGATCATGATGTCAATCACATGATTGTCTGGTCCACTCGACTTTTAAGAAAAACACCTTGCAACAATGTACCATGCTTGTCGAAAAAGGGAACTATGCTTGTCGTAAGAGATGACTAATGGGATAGGGTGGTCAGACTCGCTGACTTGGTTCATGCATGTCATCGTATCCCAATTGCGTAGATTGATGCTCATGATGTCAGTCACTGTATTCTCTGGCCCAGACCTGACTATTTACACACCACCGTCATGTAGCTGGAATATTGCTGTGTGCTGCGTTAAACCTCAAACCCACAAATCGCGACTTACTTGTAGTATATCCGGTTGAAGTACTTGCTCCACACAAGCTTTGAGTGAGCCCTGCGGCCTGAGACATGGAGTTCAAATTCCTGAAACAAGATATACACCCATTCTCACTATGGAACACAAGCGTCACTGTCCAGATCACATATCACACTGCAGGGCTGACAGAATTCACTTACTCAGCAATACATACTTTGTAGGGTATTTATACATTGTGGGTCTGTTAATTGCTTCCTTACAGAAAGTTCACAAACTGGTTTTGACTGGGAATACATTATAAAATCTCACTATTCAGTATATTCATGTATCTGTGCTGAACTAACATTGAAATTAGATCAAGTTGATTAAAAGAAATTATATGGAAACAAATCAGCCCTTAATTTCATATATTAAATAAAAATATAAATACAGTTAGTTTTTTTATCTTGGTGTAAGATCAAGCTATAAGTGCCATTTGAGAAAAGAAACTTGTTCTCCTGAAAGAATTTTATTTTCATGTTAATACCACATCAATATTCATTCACTGATCAGTCATAACATCCCATAGTTGCTACTCTCTCTGTTGTACAAGAGTTAAGGATGGATGGATGTATGGTTTCAAGGCCGTGATCAGGAAGACGGAAATCTGTCAGTACCTACCACAAAAAATGTGGACTCTCCCTCCGGCTGCTGATTGGGTTGCTGCCGACGCTTGTAGCGGTGATATGTGTTGTCAATACCCGTCGTCTCCCGCTTCAGAACTGCAGAAATCTGTGGATAACCATAACGTGTACATAAATACTTACTCAAACCCAGCCATCTAACACCAGAAACTATGTGAGCAAATGAGTTGCACCCCACTCTCAGTTACATCACAGCATGTCATCTTACTATGGAGGGAAAGCCTAAAACACTGCAGGAGATGATGTTCTCCACAACCAGGCAGGGTGCTCATAGACAAAGGCTTTAACTCGTGAAAATCTGGGATTCAAACCCAAGAACGAATCCTAGCACGGCTACGGTACATTGAAAACTTCAAAGTAACAACTGCCACCATTCAACTATCAACCTCTCTCATCTTGTACAGCAGTATGGTGACAACTCCAAATCAGTTCTGGGTTGATCAACAGTCAGCATCTTGCGCACCATGACAAAAGGTACACCAACATGAGCTCAGTTTCAACGGTAAAACTCTTTGTCCCCATAAAGGCAGAGTTTAAGATCAAAGTTTTCAAACTCGTTTCAGTTTTAATGTTCTGCTGCCCCCAAACTGCATCCTGACACTGTTGGTGTTGGTCCGGCCCCAGTTCAACTGTTGCTAGGTGATGGCTACACATTGTGCTCCGTAGTATTTACCTTATTCTTCTGCAGCTGGTAGTAGCCACTCATGAGGCCCTGCTGACGGAAGCTTCGGTCACGCATCCGTGTGACCATCGCGCTCGGATTCTCAGGGGTACACACCATTAGGATGGTGCCTGCGGGACAAAATACATGTGGTCAGCGATAGAAGACAACCGTTTTAGTCCACTAGTCCTTATAATGATAACATATAGCAAAAGCCTTAAAAATTGCAATTTTTTACTAGTCTTTATGATGCCTAACTATTGGGCAGTTTGGTAGGTACTATAGGACTGGTGCCAATTTCTAATGCGCTAATCAAAGGGATGATCAAAACATGTGGTCTATCATGGATAACTATTCTTGTTTGTTTCTTAGTTTGCTTGTTGTATAAGGCCGCCCTCAGCACTATTACAGCTACATGATGGCGGTCTGTAAATAATCCAGTCTGGACCAGACAATCCAGTGATTGACATCATGAGCATCGATCCAGGCAATTGGGATACCATGACATGCATCAACTAAGTCAGCGAGCCCATTAGTCGCCCCATACGACACACATAGTCGCCTCTTACAGCAAGCATGGGTTGCTGAAGATCTATTCACTACCCTGATCTTCATGGGTCGGAGAACTATTCTATCCCTGAATTCCCCAACACAGAGACAAGCATGGGGTACTGGGGACCTATCCCACCCTTGAATCCCCACACAGAGACAAGCATGGGGTACTGGGGACCTATTCTACCCTTGAATCCCCACACACAGAGACAAGCATGGGGTACTGGGGACCTATTCTACCCTTGAATCCCCACACAGAGACAAGCATGGGGTACTGGGGACCTATTCTCCCCTTGAATCCCCACACAGAGACAAGCATGGGGTACTGGGGACCTATTCTACCCTTGAATCCCCACACGCACAGACAAGCATGGGGTACTGGGGACCTATTCTACCCTTGAATCCCCACACAGAGACAAGCATGGGGTACTGGGGACCTATTCTACCCCTGAATCCCCCCACACAGAGACAAGCATGGGGTACTGGGGACCTATTCTACCCTTGAATCCCCCCACACAGAGACAAGCATGGGGTACTGGGGACCTATTCTACCCCTGAATCCCCCCACACAGAGACAAGCATGGGGTACTGGGGACCTATTCTACCCTTGAATCCCCACACGCACAGACAAGCATGGGGTACTGGGGACCTATTCTACCCTTGAATCCCCACACAGAGACAAGCATGGGGTACTGGGGACCTATTCTACCCCTGAATCCCCCCACACAGAGACAAGCATGGGGTACTGGGGACCTATTCTACCCTTGAATCCCCCCACACAGAGACAAGCATGGGGTACTGGGGACCTATTCTACCCCTGAATCCCCCCACACAGAGACAAGCATGGGGTACTGGGGACCTATTCTACCCCTGAATCCCCACACGCACAGACAAGCATGGGGTACTGGGGACCTATTCTACCCTTGAATCCCCACACAGAGACAAGCATGGGGTACTGGGGACCTATTCTACCCTTGAATCCCCACACAGAGACAAGCATGGGGTACTGGGGACCTATTCTCCCCTTGAATCCCCACACAGAGACAAGCATGGGGTACTGGGGACCTATTCTACCCTTGAATCCCCACACGCACAGACAAGCATGGGGTACTGGGGACCTATTCTACCCTTGAATCCCCACACAGAGACAAGCATGGGGTACTGGGGAACTATTCTACCCCTGAATCCCCCCACACAGAGACAAGCATGGGGTACTGGGGACCTATTCTACCCTTGAATCCCCACACACAGAGACAAGCATGGGGTACTGGGGACCTATTCTACCCCTGAATCCCCCCACACAGAGACAAGCATGGGGTACTGGGGACCTATTCTACCCCTGAATCCCCACACGCACAGACAAGCATGGGGTACTGGGGACCTATTCTACCCTTGAATCCCCACACAGAGACAAGCATGGGGTACTGGGGACCTATTCTACCCTTGAATCCCCACACAGAGACAAGCATGGGGTACTGGGGACCTATTCTCCCCTTGAATCCCCACACAGAGACAAGCATGGGGTACTGGGGACCTATTCTACCCCTGAATCCCCACACGCACAGACAAGCATGGGGTACTGGGGACCTATTCTACCCCTGAATCCACACACAGAGACAAGCATTGGGTACTTGGGAACTATTCTACCCCTGAATCCCCACACAGAGACAAGCATGGTGTACTAGGGACCTATTCTACCCCTGAATCCACACACAGAGACAAGCATTGGGTACTGGGGACCTATTCTACCCCTGAATCCACACACAGAGACAAGCATGGGGTACTGGGGACCTATTCTACCCCTGAATCCCCACACACAGAGACAAGCATGGGGTACTGGGGACCTATTCTACCCCTGAATCCACACACAGAGACAAGCATGGGGTACTGGGGACCTATTCTACCCCTGAATCCACACACAGAGACAAGCATTGGGTACTGGGGACCTATCCTACCCCTGAATCCACACACAGAGACAAGCATTGGGTACTAGGGACCTATTCTACCCCTGAATCCACACACAGAGACAAGCATGGGGTACTGGGGACCTATTCTACCCCTGAATCCACACACAGAGACAAGCATTGGGTACTGGGGACCTATTCTACCCCTGAATCCACACACAGAGACAAGCATGGGGTACTAGGGAACTATTCTACCCCTGAATCCCCACAGGAAACCAGCATGGGGTCTTGGAACACCCCTGTGGGTCGAGTAGAGAGCTACCCACCATCAGGGAAGAAGCGGACCATCCTGTAATAGTAGACCAGATGGAATGGTCTGTAGAAGTTGTCCAGGCCTTGCTCTCCCTGTCGCACATACCCAGTTTGGCTGATGTAACAACCTTGAATCACAAAAAAAGATATTGTAATATTCTTCTCACATATAAATAAGGTAAGCACAATGGTAAATGTAAGCATGTGATCACACATTTTGTTCTGTACACATATCTTTTTACGGAGAGCCTAAAGGGTAGTTTACCATGGAACAGCGGGTGTGGCTTCTCGATGAACATTGTCCTCCAAGAGCCGCCATACTTCCTGGGACTGCGAGTGTTCTGTCCCCAAACCCTGCAACATACACACAACATCAGCGTCTTGTCAACAAAATAAAGATGTGTAACTTTCAGGATAATATCAGTTGTCTGCTGACCCTGCTGGTGTCATCTTCTATCGTCCACAGTTGAGATACAATTCAGTGTAAAAGCTGACTTACTTCTCACAGGCAATTCTCCACAGCTCCTCGTCTCTAGCACACACATAGAAGCCTCTGCACACCTGGAAGATGGCACAGGTAAGTACACACAAATACAGGTAAATACATACAAATACAGGTCAGTACACACAAATACAGGTAAATACACACAAATACAGGTAAGTTCAAATACAGGTAAATACACACAAATACAGGTAAGTGCACACAAATACAGGTAAGTACACACAAATACAGGCAAGTACACACAAATACAGGTAAATACATACAAATACAGGTAAGTACACACAAATACAGGTAAGTATGCACAAATACAGGTAAATACACACAAATACAGGTAAATACAAATACAGGTAAATACACACAAATACAGGTAAATAGAAAGGCTCAATTATACTTCAACAACAATACTACATAGCTCTAATTCAGAACCTACAAGCACATGACGGAAGAGATCTGATTTTCAAAGAATACAATGTTTCAACAACAAAGAGTTGACTCTTGTCATTTTAATGAGAGCAATACATAAGTGTGTCCCTAAGCATGCTAAGTTGATCTACGGTATATATCTTTCTTAATTTTTTCTTTCAGTAAGAAGTTGGCTTTCATCCCACTTTTAACAATACTTTAGTAACATAGCATGTCAGCCTAGTGTGACACAATTTTGCATGTTTATTGCTTTGGCAAAATCCACAAGCATGGATATGGTGCAGACAGATCAAGGCCATAATCAGTGGGGATTCAAACCCATGACCATCAGATCCTGGCATAAGTAAGGAGGGCAACACTGCACAACAATTTGTGAGGCTTAAGACAAGCATCCCTGTCTCAAAACGAATATGGTAGGACCCATATAAAGCAAAAACAATGAAGAAAAGAGCACCCTAATAACTAAATAATTGTTAACATAGGGAGATAATAATACCTACCAAGGACAAGTTCTCCAGAGACCTTATGTCAAGGTCGTTTGAGACAACCCAGCGGAAGATGTAGATGATAAGTTCCAATGGCAGGGATGAGATGTGGGTCACCTTCAAGTGATAATAGCAACATTGTACAACAGGTACCAGTCACACACAGTCAACCTATACACATCAACAGTGTTCAAAGTTAAACAGGTAAGTCAAACTGTCCATGTCATAACCACCTAAAGCTAAAATCAAATATAAAGAAGATCCAATGATTTAAGCACTTGGAATAGATCATCACTTTCATTACAACATGTACCTCATAACAGAACAATGGAATCGGACATTTTGCAATCTTTTTATCCAGATGTTTTTGTTCTGCCACGAGTCCAAAGGTTGAGTGAGTGAGTGAGTTTGGTTTTACGCCGCTTTTAGCAATATTCCAGCAATATCACAGCGGGGGACACCAGAAATGGGCTTCACACATTGTACCCATGTCGGGATTCGAACCCGGGTCTTCGGCGTGACGAGTGAACGCTTTCCAAAGGTTGAATTTAGTAACAGTCTGCTTGGTCTGTTAAGCTCCACTCATACCTGTCTATAACATAATACAAACATCTACTGTACATGATGTCCAGAGCCTAGTTTGGGCATGTAGGCTCCAAGGGGTTCTTTGCACAGACTGCAGTAACTGATTCTATTCTTGTAACAGTTCACTTTGCATCGCGCAGTTTGCAGTGTGTTGTGTCAGCTCTACTCACCCTCTGCTGTAGGCGGGGCTGGCAGAATGTCTTCTCCCCAACACTCAGCTCCTGTAACTGTGCTAGCAAGCACTCATCGTTCTCCTCAGACAGGGCCCTGAGGTCAAACAATACAGACCTAACTATGTGTAAACAACACAGACAATGATACAAAAACTATGTATGGATTTGTTTGTTTGTTGTTTAACTCCGCACTCAGCAATATTCCAGCTATATGACGGCGGTCTGTAAATAATCGAGTCTGAACCAGAGAATCCAGTGATTGACATCATGAGCATCAATACACGCAACTGGGATCGATGACATCCATCAACCAAGTCACCAAGCCTCACCACCCGATCCAGTTAGTCACGTCTAAAAAACAAGCAAAGTCACCTTTTAGGGCAAGTATGGGTTGATGAAGACCTATTCTACCCCGGATCTTCATAGTCTATGTATGGAAACCATTTGGATGGTGTTATTGAGAAACTCAGAAGGTAATAGGGCCAGATGGGCAACTTGGCTACATTGTACTTGGGCCCTTGTTTAATGACAATAACAACAAAACATGGGTACACTACAAGTCACTCATGTTCACATTTCTTTCTGACTATACACCAATCCTTCTGAGTGTTATATGTTTGTTTCAGTCAACTTCAGTGTATGCATGATCAGATCATTTTATATGTGTATCTAAAACATTTTTGCCAGGGCTCCGGTAAAACAATGCCCAATCTAATCTCTTGAGGCCGACTTCAGGTACCCGGGTATGGACGGGTACCCAGGTAAAACATTTCGACTCGTCCCAGCACTAGAGGGTAATGTGACTGGTTATGTCACTACTTCCTAGGAGCCTGATATTTTATGCAGTCTCGTCATGTTAATAGGCACCAAACATCAGCTGCACATAATGGCTTTATGATATAGGGACACGCTCATGGATAATAAAGACAAGAGTTGTTCCACACTCAGGATTCTGGACTATTCAGAAGGCTCAGAACGCACATAAATTCATTAGGGGCAGGACAATCGTGACTACTCAGGATTTATACATTTTTGCATAAAACATGAACAGTTGTAATCAACATTCTGAAACTTACTGGTCTTCCAGCGATGTCTCACTGTCTTGTCGCTCTAAAGAGGAGAAAAATACAACTGTAAATAGACTGTATAAATCATTTGCAATGCCCTTTAGGCCATCCATAGTTTTTTAGTGTTTCCCATCTCCAACTTCAGCCGCAGGAGAGCAGGTGAGCAGGAAATTTCTTTTTTAATTTTTTGTTCTGTTTTTGACTAATTGTGTAACTTATCTCATCTCTTCATGTTAAGAACACTAAAGTGAAACAATTTGTGAACTATACCTTACAATGTCCTTGACCTTGCATGTATGTCCAATGTAATTGCCTACAGAGCATACACGGGACTTGGAAAGACTCTTTTTGAAGGGTCCATTTAAACCCTTTTTTTCAATAGTTTGATATTATTTGGTGAAATTCAAATTCAAATTCAAATTTTGTTGAAGAAACATCAAACTGACCTTGGTTTTTTTATGAGTATGAAATGGCTGGAGGATTTTTTTAACCAGGGGTGGGCATAAAAGTCCACAAAATTATCTTTTTATTTTTAGTGGGAATGGAAATTTAGGGTCAGCCCACAGGAGATGGGAAAACAAAAATACAGAGTGTCTACATGGTAGTTGTACAGCAATTTAAATAGATATCTGACAGCAATACAACCGTCAGTATTGAGTTGTAGATGATTGCCATGGGCGGATACAGAGGGGGGGTACGAGGGTGCGCACCCCCCTTTTTATTTCGAAAAAAATCTTTATTTCTGTATAAATTACCACCAAAGACAATAATCAGATCTTAATTGTGAACCCCCCCTTTTCAAAAAAGCTGTATCCGCCCATGATTGCTTTTCAATATTAACACTGTCATCACAATAACAATAAACTATTACACTGGCACAAATGTCACGTAACACTTTCCTGGTATTCACTGCAATGGTATATATTCCGTATCATCACCATGATGATCTCTCCTATTTCTAGGTCAGATTGTCATCCAAAATGTCCTGAACAAATTTTCAAGTTTGTTAGAATTAATTTGTTTGAATTTTTCCTACCAAAAAGTAGAACAAATCAAGAAAATGTCTCAATGCCATTTGTCTGGCAAATATATACACAGTATCTCACCTCTCGATGACCTCATGGAATAGACATCGATCTTTGACTCAATATCTGGCACCAGATGCATGGCTTTCTTGTAGAACAGGATGGCTGCAACAAGAACCAGCCAATATAAGAACTAATTTACAGGAGATGCTGGAGACATAAGATGCTAGGATCTTCCGTGCAAGGGTTTAGCTTCATAGGTCTTTTGTTCTTAGAGGAGATAAAAGTGAAACGAGACATACAAGAGTATGTCAAAGGTCAGCAGGCTTATCAAAATATGTCAAAAGCAAACAAAAATACTAGAATGTGTTTTTTACTCATAAAAACAGATGCCTCCACACTCCTTTTTTTATACATTAGTTCAAGTTGTTACTGTAAATGCATATCTGAAAACAATTACAGCAGAAAAAACCCACTAGTACAGGTTCTGATTAATGCATTCATGAAGCAGCACTGCTACAGTTGATACTATGTTGACTGCTTATGGCAGATACGCCTATTGAGCTTGTAACAGCAGTTTGGATGATAGATTGTGTTGTGCCCAGTATCTTTAATCTTAGTGGAAAGACTCCTAAGAATTTCCAAATTGTTTCCATGAAAACACAAGAAACTAAAAAAAATAAAAATGGATAAATAAGAAAAAGGCAATGATTGAGCATGTGGTCATTACATGTTTTTTTTACAGTTTCATGTAAAAGATTCATTAGTTTGTGCTCAGAAATGTTTGTGCTAGAGAAGCTTGAGTCCAAATTGTTTCCATGGAAACTTAAAAAAATATAAATATGAAAATTTTTAGGGGAAGACATAATAGAATAACTAGAAAGTGCAGATCATGTGAGCTAGAAAAGAGGGCTTTAAACACAAGTACAGGCTAAGCATAAGTTCTGCATACTTCAAGTGCACATTTCAAGGACAAAGAAAATAGCATTATGTATGTCCTTTCCAAATGAATTCATTCAGGTCAAAAGCAACATGTTTTCTCCTCTACATAATTATGTAGTTTCAAATTGTCTTCAGTGACTGATCATTTTCCGACATGTCTTCACTATTCCTGTGAGGTAATATCTAAGATCAACATGAGAACAAAAACAAAGCTATTACCACACATCAACATCTCCCTGATTACAAGAGACCTTCAAGTGGTCAATAATATGGCTAGGATGATACTGAAATGAGTCAACTACAACAAAATATCACCTCTCTTGCCAACAACATCTCCTAGAAATCCAACCTTCATTTTGACACAAAAATTATCCTCAACGATGCACACCTCTCACCACGGCATAATTTCCTCACTAAACATGAACCACTTATAGGCTGGTAGACATGCAAGCGCTAATCAGTTTAATTGGCCACCAAGTGATCAACAGAAGTAACAAACACCTGTAATTAACCTGCAATCACACAATGCTGCTTAACATGCTAAATTGAAATGACCTATTTTCTTTGCAAATTCAGAATGTTTCAAGAAAGAGCTCATTAAGTATTAGTTCCAGTCCATGCATGTTAAGGGGATATGTTTCATTTCCATGAACAAGAATCATCTCCTCGTCAATAAGCCAGATCAAGTTGGGATAATGGCTGATTTGAGGGTAACATGGTTCATTTCCTAAAACAAACACTGGAAATAAGTTTTTACCAAAAATACAAAATAAAATTATTTACAACTATGGTGGCCAAGTCCTCTCCCCTACCTCAATTATAATGATGTGCGTGTGCGTGTGTGTGTGTGAGAGAGAGACAGACAGACAGACAGACTGCAAATTGGTCAAATGACCTTGAAATTGAGGTCATGGTAACCATTATCAACAGGGGTCTACAGTCCTAAGACAACTTGGCACCAAATTGGAACCAAATATTTTGCTGACATCTGTGGAACCTTACAGAAAGAACCTAAAGCTACCAAGTGTTCAGAACTCAAAAACTTTCAAAGACATTAGAGGCTAAAATTGATTTATGGAATAGCCAGTTTAAGGTGAGATAACAGTTTTTAACGTACCTTCATAGAAAGCTCCACTCCTCTCTGCTTCACTTCCCAGTAAAAACAACCGGGTGGCCTGAAACATGACATATATTTGATACAGGCTCTGCAGTACAAGGGCTGATGCAGCATGAAGCAATATTCACTAATGTCTTGTGTTACAATGGAGCCATTCATGAAACATGACATATATTTGATACAGGCTCTGCAGTACAAGGGCTGATGCAGTGTAAGGCAATATTCACTACTGTCTTGTGTTACAATGGAGCCATTCATGAAACATGACATATATTTGATACAGGCTCTGCAGTACAAGGGCTGATGCAGCGTGAGGCAATATTCACTACTGTCTTGTGTTACAATGGAGCCATTCATGAAACATGACATATATTTGATACAGGCTCTTCAGTACAAGGGCTGATGCAGCATGAAGCAATATTCACTACTGTCTTGTGTTACAATGGAGCCATTCATGAAACATGACATATATTTGATACAGGCTCTGCAGTACAAGGGCTGATGCAGCATGAAGCAATATTCACTACTGTCTTGTGTTACAATGGAGCCATTCATGAAACATGACATATATTTGATACAGGCTCTGCAGTACAAGGGCTGATGCAGCATGAAGCAATATTCACTACTGTCTTGTGTTACAATGGAGCCATTCATGAAACATGACATATATTTGATACAGGCTCTGCAGTACAAGGGCTGATGCAGCGTGAAGCAATATTCACTACTGTCTTGTGTTACAATGGAGCCATTCATGAAACATGACATATATTTGATACAGGCTCTGCAGTACAAGGGCTGATGCAGCGTGAGGCAATATTCACTACTGTCTTGTGTTACAATGGAGCCATTCATGAAACCCGACATATATTAGATACAGGCTCTGCAGTACAAGGGCTGATGCAGCATGAGGCAATATTCACTAATGTCTTGTGTTACAATGGAGCCGTTCATGAAACATGACACTAAACCTGACAGTATAATACTTTCTGTTTGCAGTTTGACACTCCACTCAGCATTATTCCGGTTGATTGAATGTGGCCTGTAAATAATCCAGCCTGGACAAACCGCTGATCAGTACTTCACACTGATTTTGTATTAGATATTCTCAATATATCTTCCTTTACAAAGAGGATGGTTTTCTACTTTCACTACATGCCCAACCCTTTGCATTAAATCACTGAATTTGATATACCGTATTTGACTTAATTAGCACACACGGCGGTATTTGCTTAGCATGCACATAGTATTATATTCAAGAGATATATATCTCTAAGGGGTAAAATATGGACACAGATTTTTTCTGCATTTGCCAAACCATGAATTTTACGATCTTTCAATTCTGGTATGACAATAATTATAACAACTATTAATAACCAATTATATCAATGATTAATCAGCGATCCTAAACCGCTGCAATGATAGATTGAATGGGTTCATTATCAATTGTTGAGAATATCCTCATTCAATATTGCATTTAAACAAAAAATACTAACCATTGAATCATTCATTAAATCTACATGTTGTTACACTATGTACACATGAACACACTCATTATTAATATGTAGACATTTCATATCGGGAAAAAGATATTGAAAATTTTAAATCACAGTAACATTTGAAAAAAATACATTGGTAACTGATCATAGCTGATGATTGATTGGTTGAAACTAACTGATTATATCCACTCTGGCTTCTGTGATGGTCATATTGAATAACACACTCAATCCTCTTTAACATATTGGGGTGTCTTCATTGGTGGGAACAAGTATGTGAAGTTTCAGCTTCCTTGACCAAGTGGTTCCGAGGAGAAGACGTTTACAGTGTGAGGAAGTGCACTTTAGGAATATGGTCAAAGGGCAATTAAAGGTCAAATATGTAAAATACCGAAAAATAGAACATATGTGTTGAGCCCCAGTTCTAGCTACAGTGAAACACGGATAGAGCGAACGCGGATAGAGCGATGATATAACAAACATGGATAGAGCGAACAAACAGATACTGTAAAACAGGAAATTAATGCGAGCGGAATATTAATGCGAAAAATGCAAGTGACAGAAGGTCGCATTAATTTTATGCGCATTAATTTTTCAAATAACAAAGTCACCTACACAAAGTGAAGTTAAGTAGTGGTCAGTTCACATCCTGTAAATCAGCCCAGATTGGCGCCAGCCACGAATTATCCCATCAGTGTCCTTTACAAACTTGTCAAGAGCAGACACGAGCCAACGCGCATGAATGGGTTTCATGACACTAGTCCGCAGGTCAACAGGAGTGTGAGGATTGTCACCTGATCGAAGATTTGATACACTGATCTGTTTTCTACTTCTTTTCATCAAAGGGCCAAACGTATGTACTAGTACCAACAGACTGTCAACTAAAACAACACTAACACAATGATAGCTGCAAGGAAACCATTCTCACGCTTGGCCATCAAACATACGGGCAGTTAGCTTAAATAATATTAAAATAAGGAAGGAATCTCACACTGAAAAATTATGGACAGGTTTTTTTTTTATGTGCACAGTTATTTTATTTCTCTCTGACTACTCACTGTTCCTGCTCAAAACGTCATTTGAAACAAACGAAGCGTTTTCAGGTAAGGCTTTTATTGACGTAGGTTACGTTAATTAAAATAACACAGAACATAAATCCAGTGCATAATTTTTTTAGGAAAGGGTATAGGCACTTGCATTTTTAAAATGCGCATTAATGTCTAAAATCAAGAGCTCGCATTATTTTCATGTCGCATTAATTTCCTGTTTTACAGTACAACAAACTGTTAAAAATTCCCCGTTTTATCTCCTATAAATTATCATATAAAATTTACATACATAACAAACTCTCTACAGCAAACTAACATATATAGCGAACTGATATCTGATCCCGACAAGCCCAAATACCACTAATTAGTGACGTGTATAGCGAACTGAGAAATCTCACTCAGTGTCAAGTCTCACGGACAATTGGCTGTACGCAATCGAAATACATGTAGCGCAGGAAGTCCCTACGATGACTGGTCAAATTGTTCCTTACGTAAATATATCCGGCAATAGCAATCACCTGCACCAAAGTGCTACGCTTATGGTTCTTATTATTCTAAATATATATAGTGAAAGCTGTAACTAAAATAAAATGATATTGGAATATATTATTCTGATAAAGAAACAATTTCTTCCGACTATTGCATCAAAATATTTTGAAGTTGTATCATTGGGTACTTTTTAACTGAATTATCAGCAGATGTAGGAGGAAAGGTGTATAAACGTGTATGTGTATTGTGTTTTGTTTTAGCCAAGATGGCGGACGTTTCCAAGCGAGAACGTATAAAACAAACTAAGTATATAACGAAATGATTTCTCAGGTCCCTTGTAGTTCGTTATATCCATGTTCTACTGTACACGAATACCAAATTTCATTCCATTTCTGAAAAAAAGTGGTTGAGTAATGCCCACAAATAGGTTTTTCAATGTGGCAGAGGTTGCAACAATATTTGAAACTCGGATTCCAACCACTTGAACAAATTTGGGTGTCTCCACTGATGGGAATAAGCTTTTGAACATTCAGCTTCATTGGTCCAGAGGATTCTGACAAGATGTTACGATACAGAACAGATGACAGACATAAGCTCTGACTTTCAAGTCAGGTGAGCTAAAATGGTTCACAATTTGAAGCCTTTCCCTCAAAGTTTTCAAACTGGCTCCGACTGATGTCACACACCATGATGGGACTTCTATTTTTCGAGTACTTTTTCGATGTTGATGTCCAATTTTCGATGTTTATGCATTGCTTATTTTGAGCTTATCGCCCTGGTTTTCTTTTTCAAATAGTGATGCTGTCACAAGTGGCTTTATTAGTAGCATCAAACAAACATGGTGGATTGGTGTCCGGTATAATGTATGAGTACCATATCCAAAAGCCTATATGTTCATCAGCTAACATCCTCACAGTGTATATTCATCACTGTTCACAGAGCAACACTATCAGTGTTGATAGCTCAAAAGCCAGAAACAGCAGAAAGCTTAAAAGAAATGATAAAACGATAGGCAGACTTCTCATCTTTTTTACGAAATGGGAATCACCTTCTTCACACATCCAATCTCATTAGAATCAGATCTTAGTTTTTGCTACCGCTAAACAAAGATCTGAGGACATCCCATTACGGGTCACGTCAGAACGACCTTTCGCGAATTTTGACCAACAAATGAAATGACTGACAAGAAATCGACATTAGCCAATCAGAAGGCAGCTTTCTCAAGCTTTACAACACTAGTTTCAAACTGGCGACTATGCTTCGAAACATATTTTGACGTATTCTCGATTAAAAAAATTAAAACTGATAAGAACATTCTTGAATGGCTTATAGATGGCCTAGATTGTATTGATATAATCATAAAACCTGTAACTGTCGTTCGGAATACCCCATGTTAAATATTTCATGGTTGCATGATTAGAAAACACATTCCGACTGTCACTTTCATGATCTGGTAAGCAACGCTCTGATTGGTTGGATGAAAGGTCGTTCTGACGTGACCCTTTATGGGATGTCCTCAGATCTTTGTTTAGCATAGCGAGAACTAAGATCTGATTTTAATGAGATTGTCACACATCTTGATGATATTTATTGATTCAAGCAGAACAGGTGACACAGACACCTTTTTTTTAACTTTGTATGGTATGGTAATTTAGTCCAAATAGGAGATGAGGAATAAAAGATTATATTAATGCCCTTCGTGTCATACCTCTTTTTCAATGGCCTCTTTCCCCTTCAGGGTTTGAATGTGACTGCGTTTCTGGTTGCGAACAACATCCAACTCGTTCTTCCATTCCTCTCGGAAGGTAAACAGTTCATCCTCCAGGCTGGGGGATTCCCCCCGCCCTTCTTCCTGCTCCTCACCATGGGAGGGCAAGATTTCATCAGACTGCAACAAATGATATAGCATCCATGATATGGTCATGTTCAGCAATATCAACCAACATGCCATGTGATGTTATCACGATACATTTGACAATATTCACAAAACAAAACAAAAGGTGAGGTGAGGTGAAATGGGGTTTAACGTCGCGTCCAAGATTATTGCACTTATATAGCGACATGCATGTACGAGTGTGTGTTTGTGTGGCTGCTTGTACTAGTCCGGACTGATGACGATTTATAGTGTGAGCTCACTGAGATACCTTGCCGCAGTTTAACATGAATACCCCACTCAGACACAGTATCCTGACTCCGAGCAGTCCAGTCCTTGTTTTAGCCCCTTAATGCCGAGCGCCAGACAGGGTAACAGCAAGTACCATCTTTTAACGTCTTTTGGTATGACCCGGTCGGGGATCAAACCCCGGACCTTCCGCTCTCCGGGCGGACACTCTATCACTAGACCACAGAGGCAGTCAAAACAAAACAGTGAGTGAGTGAGCTGGGTTTAACGCCGCTTTTAACATTATTCCAGTTATATCACGGCGTGTCAGCTTAATGTGGTAGGAAAGCCCGAAGTGATGCAGGTCTAAGACGTTTACCACTTCGGTGAAACCCACGAGCACGGGTATGGTTCTGACAAACCTAGAAACATAATTGGGGCGAACCGGGATTCAAACCCACAATCATAGGTTTCTGGGGGCAACTATTGGGGGCAAGCAGGCATTTTTCCGGACACCTTCCACCACTATGGTATGTGCACTAATAATGATAGAAACTGTTCCTAAGGAAGAATACTAAGTTCTTAGAAGCAATATTTAGCTGCATCGCTAAAAACAATGGGGTTTAGGGTTCTTGGTCCCACACAACAGCTTGAAATAAATGCTTTCAAAAATAAAATTTATTATTAGTTACCAAAGTTAGTGAAAATATGAGTCTCTTAAAATGTGTCCCAAATGGAATCACTGATGAGGTTGTTGAACATCATTTTGAAACTTCTACTTTTGAGTAATTTTTCGATGTTGATGCCCAACTGTCTATGTTTGTGAATAGCTTTGATATTCAATATCAACATGATCAAGGCTTAACCATATTAAACTACACAAATTCGTAATTTTCCTGCTTACCTTTAGCAATGTTTAGCTTTACTGACTTAATTTTCAAATAAAAATATATTTAGGCGTGGCTATAGTAGTAGCCTCGGCAGCTGTGGAAAGATGACACACAAAGCGCAATCTGCCCCATGTTAACCTTATCATTTGGGCTGGTTGAAATTTATTCTTAACAGTTTGCCAGTTATCATAATTCAACCAAGTGCAAACAAAATGTCACTTCCCTGTTTTTCCCAAATAGCTATAGATTCCGATTCCTGTTCAAAAGATATATCCTACATATAAAACAACCATAATAACATGAAACATTGTAAACGTTGAATGCTATGACTTCCAATTACCAGTATGTTATCAGTTTTGCTGACATAAATTGTTATCTCAAACCAATAAGGAAACTATTCATGTAAAATACCATATTGCCAGTCCCAAGTCTATGAAGTACCCAACTGATTTCATAAACATAAACAGTTAATAGAACAAAATACATCTGTTCTATATGCGCAAAGCGCATAGAAACATAATTATAACTCTACATGTTCCCTTGGCTGACGCTCTTATTGTGCGCAACTGGCTTCCACGCCAAGGTTCTAAGTTCATCAGTGCGTGGAGCCCAAAGTCAAAAACGATGTCAACATGTTTTCTGCTCGGAACAAGGTCACAATGTTTAAACAAAATTATGTAAAAGTAACAAATAACAGGCATCGACATGTCAATATTTCAATACTCTTACCATCTCCAAATATTATAAAAGTGGAGACACTTCAAATAAGTAGTTCTCTGAATGTATAACAGATGACAATTGAACAGGCAAAGATTCTTGATCGTCTCACGGCCGCCATATTTACTTCTCATTGGAGTTGATAGAGTAACTTCCCCTTGAGTGACTAAGACTCAAGCTCCGCCGCAGCGCGTTTGTCACGCGTGTGCTCCGTACGACTGGCTGTGGCCGTGGGGAGCCTAATGAAACGAATTTCATGAAAGACAGAGCTCAGTCAACTTAGGCGATATATTATTTGCAGCTGTTGGCTTTTGCGGTGGCTGCCAGCTCCCTTTTGGTAGGCAGGATTCGGGGTCTGCTTAGAGAGCTTTATGTCGTACCATAAAACGATAAAAATCTACTTTATGGTCTCTGGTCGTACAAAGGACTCAAATAAAATCATATCTTGCACGCAGATTCAACATGTAAAAATATAATTGAGTATAATCAGTGTTCGAAATACCTGCCTGCCCGACCGTCCGAGACGTGTTGATTTCAACTCGGGCTGCCAGATTTTCAAATCCCCCTGTCCGACGGTCGGGTTATATTTCATATGTGAAAATATTCAAAATATTTTCCGATGAAGCATTAATTCACACGTAAAGATGAATGATAAAATGTAACCAAAAAGAAACCCCGTTAGCTTATCCTGAGAAACATATGATTATAGTGGGCAGGCAGGTTTTGGTCAGGGCTGGCAAGTATTTCAGCTAGCCAGTCCTGTGGTCTGGCTGAAATGTTTGGGAGTTTCATACCCTGGTATAATAGACAATGACAGTTCTACCGCAACCCCACTGGAGCCAGATTAATATTCCTATACAGCTACTACAGAGGGAATTTTTATGTCAAAATGATTATGTGATTCCCATGATCGTCATGAGATTAAGCTAAATTGACTCTTCAATCAATGCTTCTATGATATAATTTTTTATAGACAATGACAGTTTTACAACAACCCCACTAGAGCCAGATTTATATACATATTTTCCTAGAAAAAGCAAGCAACTGCTATATTTTGCTATATTTTTCTAGGAAACAAGATTCTCGGTGTGTTGAATTTCTATGTATAGGATTCCTATTGTAGAATATGTATACAATGCCTCGAAAGAAAAATCCATCCGAAGAGTTGGAAGAAATTCATGCTCTACGTGGAAACATCCCAGCGGAGGATGCGAAAAGAAAATATGGTATTGGAGCTGGGAGGTTGTATAGAATATGGAAAAACTCGGAGAACCCTGTAGAAAGCATGACACAGGTGTAACCATACAACCCTATAGAGCGTGTGTCTCGCGAAGATATATTTGGAGATATATAGAGAGTATTGTTGGATATACGAAACAATATTGCGAAGATGAAAGAAGATGTGGAGGATGTAGAAGAAGAATTGGAGTCCTTGGGGAAGGATGTGGAGGATATAGAAGAAGAAGTAGAGTCCTTGGAAATGAATGTAGAGAAAGCGCGATTGTTTGCCAAATACACAAATATAGCGGGATATATTCTCCTTCCAGTTGTTGTACTATGGAAACTACGGAGGAAAAAGGAAGGTCCCATTGATCCACCGCTGGACCCTCCCACAAAACCGGATACTTTTCGAATGCTATAGATTTTCCATTTGGATATTTGCTATATAGTATAGAATAGAAACAATCTCATTAAAATCAGATCTTAGCGGTAGCGAGAACTGAGGTCTGATTTTAATGAGATTGGAATAGAAACAACAATGCAATATGTCCAAGAAGATGGTATGCCGAGAAGATTTCGTGAAAAAGTTTGGAAGTAATACGATTTTGGAAATGCCAAACATGTATATACTGCAAAAGAATACATAGAGAAAAACAGAAAGCATCCTTGTGGAGAAGGGGGATTGGAAATAGATGGATACCTTGGAGAAGGAGAGGAAGAAAGTTTGGGGTAGGGAAACATATGGAGGAAAGTTGTATATTGCTACAAATAGAAGAGGGCACTCTAGACTTGTTTTGCCTTGTGGTATGTTTGCGTACTAGTGTTTTGCGGATATAGATACCAATCTATCTTTCTTTCTATGTATTGTTCTCTTTTCTCTTCCTATTTTGCATAGTATTGGTGCTGCATATGTATCCAAGGGATCCAATTTTTCGACTTCTTCTTGCAAAAATGTCCCATATACTGGAATTTCCGATCCATCTGTTGATTGTAGAAACAGAATAGTTCCATTTTTGTCTGGTTTTTGTATGTTGTGCAACTGGTTCTAGCAATTCTAGTATCTTTCGCAGTCTTTTTGTTTGCCAAATAGATAGAAAACAATATACATCTACATTTTCTCCTACAGACGCTGTATTGTCTAGAATTGTCCCTTCTTTTTCTCCTTCTATACCTTGTAGAAAGTATCCCTGGCTTTGTAGGTATTCCACTAGTTTTTCCCTATCTAGCACACCAGAAAAGTCTATGGAATACGAGTATATCTCGTATCCGAAGGAATATAGTTGCGTGTGTAGTGCATCCAACCCCTTTTGTGTTTCCTCTAGGGACAACTCGGAGACATCTATTTTGCACACAAATATACCTTTGGGTTCTTCGTTGGAAAATCTTTCCATCCATTTTTTCTTCGCTTTGTATTCTGTTTGTTTTTGTATTTGTTGTATTGTGTCTCGTATTTTGCTTCCGGAGCCTCCTATATAGGAAATTGTTTTTGCAATAGTAGCATGCACGTGACATCCGTATACTTTCTGCGTTGCTATTTGTATTTCTTGTAGTATACGTTTTGCAGATCAATTTTCTCCAGTTGTACAAGACACAGATCCTCGTAGAGATACTATATCGTTTTCTTCTAAATAGCCAAATATATACATATCGTCTACAAATGTTGGTAGGCCCTCCAAAGGTTCTAGATGTGTTCTGCCTAGATTTCCTTCCAAATAGTCTACCTTGGATATATCTGGTAGCAAGTTGTCTTCGTATGCATTCTCCACCAGTATATGTTGGAACACAGACATTTCTGCGCGTATGCCCATGCTCTGCATAGTTGTATATTTCGCTTCTTCCATTTTTGTTCTATACTATAGTTGGGCACAAATGCTGGATTGGGAATTCATTGGGCACAGTTGTATGCTTTGGGCACATTCTATTGCTCTATTGGAAAAAATATTGTAGGGGGGTGGCGAAATCGGGGGTGCTAAAGAAGAAAAATGCACTCTCTTGACATAAAAAATTCCCTCTGTAGTAGCAGTATAGGAATATAAATCTGGCTCCAGTGGGGCTGCGGTAGAACTGTCATTGTCTATACTACTTAATTGTGTACGTGTAAAACGGTCCTTTATATATCATATTTTTGCGATATATATTTATAAGTAATTTCTCTTCAAACTACTGTCTTTTCTCAGTGCTTTAGAGATTTTTGTCAAGTGGTATTTTGGATTCACAGGTGGACAAATGACACTCAGAGTGAAACATTAGATGGTATTCCAGATTTAAGAGACGGCCTCCGTGGTCTAGTGGTAGAGCGTCCGCCCGGAGCGTAAGGTCCGGGGTTCGATCCCCGGCCGCGTCATACCAAAGACGTGAAAAGATAGTACTTGTTGTTAACCTGTCTGGCGGCATTAACTTCACACCATCAATAAAGTATACACGTTCTGATATGACTACAATTTGTTTGATAAAAAAGCAAATGTCTGTTTTGTCATATTACACGTCGTCCTGCGATTTGCACAATTGTAAGGCTTTTACATATGTTTGTAAATCAGATATAGACAATAATAACAAGTATTGTTTTACCTTTTTATTTTTATATTAATAACATATAACCTTGCCTCGTCACAGCACCAGGGCGGATTCGGGGTAATTATTTACCGACTGTCTGTATTACGCTCAAATCGTTCTGCATCATACTGAAGCTTCGGAGGGCCAACAAGGGATTTGAGCAGGGAAAATTTTCATACATAACGACCACCTCCGTGGTCTTGTGGTAGAGCCTCTGCCCGGGGTTCGGGGATTCGATCCCCGGTCGCGTCCTACCAATAGTGGTTAAAAGGTCGTACTTATTGTTACCCTGCCTGGCGCTCGGCATTATGAGGCTAAAACAAGGACTGGTCGGCTCGGTCAGTATACTGTTTTTGAGTGGGATATTCATGTTTAAATGCGGCATGGTATCTCAGTGGGCTAGCACTAAAAATCGTCATCAGTACAAGCTGCCACATCCATACCCCCACACACGTGCATGGACGTCGAGTTATAAGTTCAGTAATCTGGAACTCGACGTAAAGCCCCATTTCACCCCACCTTTCATACTTAACATAACCCATATCTATGTCAAGGTGACCGCCCTAGCATATGACTGGCGGGTGTTGAAGGTCAAGGTCACTACTTTCGAAGTATGCATACTAACACCTCCTGACCCAATAACGTGAGATTTTAATACAGGAAATTATCAATTTAGGCAGAATTCCTCACTGTTGTGAAATGTCTAGGCAACCCAAATGCAAAAAAGTCAATATATGCAGTTTAAACTTTATATATACTTAAATGTTTGCATTACATCATATATGAAAACCTATATGTAGTAACTATAATTGTAATGAAGCCACAATAAACAGAGGGTAACATGAGTGCTGTCGACGAATGTGCCAAAGATGGACCAAAAGAGAAGAGAACCTGTTGAATGTGTGTCAGAGTTGATTAAGACAGTGCGTAATGTTGTCATTGGTTGAAAAAAGAGGAAAACAGAATTTGAAAACAAAAACAAAACTTTTTTTGCCCCCCACCAGCTCTCACCCAAGACTATTATACACTTCAATAGGTAACAATTTTTCTGCTTTCGGATCAGTTATGATAATCTTTGATGGTTCATAATTATTCTTCTATACCGGGAAGTGGGATTGCATCTATCATGCAGATGTTTGTAATGATTTACAATATTAACAACCGAAGATTTAAATTTCATTTCAATGTACTAGGTTAAAGACATGTCTCTGTCATGGTCATGCACTCTCATATATATACGTCAACCCGGCTGCGTCTTCAGATAGGTAAAGATCCTCTCTTACACTATCTGTACTCAGTCATTCATGGCGCTGTGATCCCCCTTGGTTACAATTTTGTCTCTCAGAACATGGTGGCTGTTAATTCCCATGCACACAACATCAGTGTGTCGAGCATCAGTCATGATGTCCATTCCTGCCTCAGCATCCTGATCTGACATGAATGTAAAACCGATATCTTCTTTCAAAGCATTGTCACAGCTGTCTTGATAGTCCGCTGCCACACAGTTGTCATAGACAGCTTTATCACCTTGCACAAGAGATATATGTCCAGTATTGGCACATGGAGCATTCCACTACAGAAATATCCTTGGGCCATACTGAAGTTGACGAGAAACTATTGATTTGGGAGGTATGGTGACGATGCCCGTCGGGGGAGTGATGTGTTGCATCTCACAGGATATACCCAAAGCCGTTGCATGTCCACGACAGTACCTTTTAACTTCGGAGAGCTTTCCATTTCTGCAGGTTCGCACATGATCAGCAGTCATATTTGCAAGTCTATCCATGGACTGTACTGCTGTCAAAAATATGCACTGGTTGACATCCCCCCTGTCGGTGGTGCTGTAGGTTGGTTGACATCCCCCCCTGTCGGTGGTGCTGTAGGTTGGTTGACATCCCCTGTCGGTGGAGCTGTAGTTGGTTGACATCCCCTGTCGGTGGTGCTGTAGGTTGGTTGACATCCCCTGTCGGTGGTGCTGTCATTTGGTTGACATCCCCTGTTGGTGGTGCTGTAGGTTGGTTGACATCCCCTGTCGGTGGTGCTGTCGTTTGGTTGACACCCCCCTGTCGGTGGTGCTGTCATTTGGTTGACATCCCCCTGTCGGTGGTGCTGTCGTTTGGTTGACATCCCCCTGTCGGTGGTGCTGTAGTTGGTTGACATCCCCCTGTCGGTGGAACTGTAGTTGGTTGACATCCCCCTGTCGGTGGAGCTGTAGTTGGTTGACATCCCCTGTCGGTGGTGCTGTAGGTTGGTTGACATCCCCTGTCGGTGGTGCTGTAGGTTGGTTGACATCCCCTGTCGGTGGTGCTGTAGGTTGGTTGACATCCCCCTGTCGGTGGTGCTGTCATTTGGTTGACATCCCCTGTTGGTGGTGCTGTAGGTTGGTTGACATCCCCTGTCGGTGGTGCTGTCATTTGGTTGACATCCCCTGTCGGTGGTGCTGTCGTTTGGTTGACATCCCCCTGTCGGTGGTGCTGTAGTTGGTTGACATCCCCCTGTCGGTGGTGCTGTAGGTTGGTTGACATCCCCCTGTCGGTGGTGCTGTCATTTGGTTGACATCCCCTGTCGGTGGAGCTGTAGTTGGTTGACATCCCCCTGTCGGTGGTGCTGTAGTTGGTTGACATCCCCTGTCGGTGGTGCTGTAGGTTGGTTGACATCCCCCTGTCGGTGGTGCTGTCATTTGGTTGACATCCCCTGTCGGTGGAGCTGTAGTTGGTTGACATCCCCTGTCGGTGGTGCTGTAGTTGGTTGACATCCCCTGTCGGGGGTGCTGTAGGTTGGTTGACATCCCCTGTCGGTGGTGCTTTAGGTTGGTTGACATCCCCCTGTCGGTGGTGCTGTCATTTGGTTGACATCCCCTGTCGGTGGAGCTGTAGTTGGTTGACATCCCCCTGTCGGAGGAGCTGTAGTTGGTTGACATCCCCCTGTCGGGGGTGCTGTAGGTTGGTTGACATCCCCTGTCGGTGGTGCTGTAGGTTGGTTGACATCCCCCTGTCGGTGGTGCTGTCATTTGGTTGACATCCCCCTGTCGGTGGTGCTGTCGTTTGGTCGACATCCCCCTGTCGGTGGTGCTGTCATTTGGTTGACACCCCCCTGTCGGTGGTGCTGTAGGTTGGTTGACATCCCCTGTCGGTGGAGCTGTAGTTGGTTGACATCCCCTGTCGGTGGTGCTGTAGGTTGGTTGACATCCCTTGTCGGTGGTGCTGTCGTTTGGTTGACATCCCCCCTGTCGGTGGTGCTGTAGGTTGGTTGACATCCCCTGTCGGTGGTGCTGTAGGTTGGTTGACATCCCCTGTCGGTGGTGCTGTCATTTGGTTGACATCCCCCTGTCGGTGGTGCTGTCGTTTGGTCGACATCCCCCTGTCGGTGGTGCTGTCATTTGGTTGACATCCCCCTGTCGGTGGTGCTGTCATTTGGTTGACATCCCCCTGTCGGTGGTGCTGTCATTTGGTTGACATCCCCCTGTCGGTGGTGCTGTCATTTGGTTGACACCCCCCTGTCGGTGGTGCTGTAGTTTATTTGACATCCCCCCTGTCGGTGGTGCTGTAGTTGGTTGACATCCCCCTGTCGGTGGTGCTGTCATTTGGTTGACATCCCCCTGTCGGTGGTGCTGTCATTTGGTTGACATCCCCTGTCGGTGGTGCTGTAGGTTGGTTGAAATCCCCCTTGTCGGTGGTGCTGTAGTTTATTTGACATCCCCCTGTCGGTGGTGCTGTCATTTGGTTGACATCCCCCTGTCGGTGGTGCTGTCATTTGGTTGACATCCCCCTGTCGGTGGTGCTGTCGTTTGGTTGACATCCCCCTGTCGGTGGTGCTGTAGGTTGGTTGACATCCCCCTGTCGGTGGTGCTGTAGTTTATTTGACATCCCCCCTGTCGGTGGTGCTGTAGTTGGTTGACATCCCCCTGTCGGTGGAGCTGTAGTTGGTTGACATCCCCCCTGTCGGTGGTGCAGTAGGTTGGTTGACACCCCCTGTCGGTGGTGCTGTCGTTTGTTTGACATCCCCCTGTCGGTGGTGCTGTAGGTTGGTTGACATCCCCTTGTCGGTGGTGCTGTAGTTTGTTTGACATCCCCTGTCGGTGGTGCTGTCGTTTGTTTGACATCCCCCTGTCGGTGGTGCTGTCATTTGGTTGACACCCCCCTGTCGGTGGAGCTGTAGTTGGTTGACTTCCCCCTGTCGGTGGAGCTGTAGTTGGTTGACATCCCCTGTCGGTGGAGCTGTAGTTGGTTGACATCCCCCTGTCGGTGGAGCTGTAGTTGGTTGACATCCCCTGTCGGTGGTGCTGTCATTTGGTTGACACCCCCCTGTCGGTGGTGCTGTAGGTTGGTTGACATCCCCTGTCGGTGGTGCTGTCGTTTGGTTGACATCCCCCCTGTCGTTGGTGCTGTAGGTTGGTTGACATCCCCTGTCGGTGGTGCTGTAGGTTGGTTGACATCCCCTGTCGGTGGTGCTGCAGGTTGGTTGACATCCCCTGTCGGTGGTGCTGTAGGTTGGTTGACATCCCCTGTCGGTGGAGCTGTAGTTGGTTGACATCCCCCTGTCGGTGGTGCTGTCGTTTGGTTGACATCCCCCTGTCGGTGGTGCTGTCGTTTGGTTGACAGCCCCCTGTCGGTGGAGCTGTAGTTGGTTGACATCCCCCTGTCGGTGGAGCTGTAGTGTCATGCCAGGTGCTTCTTCCATAGCTTCACCTTTCTCCTTCGTGTGCGCCTTTGTGTAAACGTCCAGTATTCTTTCAATGGCTTCAACATTGTTCACTCTGAGACCCTGCATATTGCCTGTAATAATTTCTCTTACTTTTAATACGTTGGCCATATAGTTGTCTTGCACATCTCACTAGAAGTAGCATTTGGGTAATCTCTCACAAGTGTAGAAAAACAATGGAAAACTGACATGTTTTCATCTTCCCGAGGCAAGAGAGTTAACTCACTTTAAAAGTCCAGTTTCAACCCTTGCCGAACTAGGCTGGTATTATGGAGTTGGATTTTGACTGGACTAACGAGTCTATATGCATAGTCCAATCAAAATCGCGCAACGAAATCGAAATCCGGTTCGTAAACTGTCGTGCAGATTTCGGTCGATTGCAGAGCAAAACATGTGCACCGCCAACTCGTTGTCAACAGATATTTTCCAAACATTTTTATGTTTTTAATCAAGGTGCTCCTGTGATTTGATGCACTTCGCGATCTAAGACCCGTTTTATCACAATATAGATATTGATTATGGATCAGATCGTCTTGACTGGGCGCCACCGTTTTGTTTAAAACAAATGCAAGTGATGGAATCTGATTGGTCCACAGGAGAGGCTTAGAAGGGACATAACTCGTAATAACCACTGGTGGCGCTACGATCGAGCCCAGGAATTCCAGCCAAGTTCGGCAAGGGTGGAAACTGGACTTTTAATGTCAGTTAAAGGATTCTTAAAAAGGTTTTTACACATGCTTTATATTCACTATTAATGAATACTTAGATATATATGTTACACACTCAAGGCAGTTTGAAACAGTAACACTTCGTTATATAGCTTGAATTTGCAATCTAAAACGGACGATCATCGAAAGCATTTGGCGATTACGTAAGATAATGAGGTAGCCAGTCACGTGATCGTGTGACGTCATACCGGACAGTTGTAGCATCAAAACACACAAGGTGCCGCGCCGAATCGCTCTCGGAAATCTTCTTTTATCTTCACCCATAATTCGACCCACAAGGTCAAAAATGGATTTGGAAGGTCTACCCCATACAGATACTGACATAGAAGTACAACCTTTACAATTTGAACCAATTTCTGGCAGCAAGAACGACCAGAATACTGACGACGATTCCAGCAGTTGACAAGAAAACAGTGACGATCCCGATCTCGACGATGTTTTGAATAGGCCTCACACAGACTGGTATGCTAGTAATTAGCGTGCCATATATTCAGGAAAACAGATTAAATATGGAATCAATCTTTCAGCTGTCGCGGTAAAATGTGTAATCACAATTACCGCAATGTTAGACCAATAATAATATGCGAACCCACGCCTATATATGAGTGACAGTAAATGCTCAAATCGCGAGTTACAAGTTAATCGGTTCAAAATAATATGTCAGACTTTTCACCTTAATTATTAAATGTGTTATAAAAATTCTTCTGGCTAAATATACCCAACAGAAGGATCGAATATGGGGATCAACCTTTCTGTTAAATACCATTACGTACGTCAGTCAATACACGTACTAGCACAGTACCCTAAATTCGTTAGTGTAACATTATCAATGTTGCCGGTGCATCGAAGTTCAATTTTATAACACATTCAATTTCCATAGCTATTGGTAAGCTGTTGTGATAGTTATTGTGGAATATAAATTTTCAAAAATGGAACACATGACATGTTAAATAATTATGAATTTTTATAGTGTGAATTTTAAAAGTGTGCCATAAATAAGAAATACGTGAAATACTTTTATTTTTAGGGAACTGTACCATAAAGAAATTGATAGGTTTGCATTTATTTATGTATTATTAGCTATATCATAATTTTGTTGATAGGTGTGACTGTGGCAACTGTATGCCTATGTCATCCCGACCTGAGTCGAAATGTTGCCACTTTTATGCTGGGGTGAGAGAGAAACCTTTGAATTGCATCACTCAACATGAAGGATTCTCAGTAAATTTCACCAACATACACGTCCTACAGTTGGCTCTCCTTGAATTTGTGAGCTTGGCTGGCCCACTAGACGATAACGAACCAATTCATAAGTATGTTCCTTCTTAACCGCTGATAATTACTATAGTAAATGTAGCTGCATCGATTAAAATTGACATATCCTTATCATTATTATCAAATATTCTCCTAAACTGTCAGCAAGTGAAAAAGAAATATTCTTCAATGCCTTACAGTAATCATGGTAATATATAACATGAATAAAGTGTGGTCAGTTCCAAAGAAAGACCTGCAATCAAATTAAGGAACAACTAGAACAAAACTGAAGGTGTAAATAATTTATTTGCATACTACTTTTTAACATAATGTTAAAAAATTGATCAATTAAAACAATATCTAGACTAACACCACAAAGACATGTTGGATTAATAACAGAAGTGAAGTAGCAAAAAATTGTGTTTGTCTGTTTAACGACACACTCAGCAATATTCCAGATATATAACAGCAGTCAGTAGATAATCGAGTCTGCACCAGACAATTCAGTGATTGACATCATGAGAATCGATCCATGCAGTTGGGATACGATGACATGCATCAACCAAGTCAGCTGTGTCTGCGGGCTTGTCTACTCTCTACTCTCATTTGCATAGAAATTACCTTGAACTAGATCATCAGCCATATCTTTCAACATATAGATAGGCATACCATCACGATAGAACCTTCTTCTGATAATAAAGATTTCCTCAGTCCATTTTTCTTGATAGTCTCTTTGAAATTGATGTCTCAAATGAGAGAGTCTCACTTGATCGCCCACTTTAAATTTAAAGGGTTTCTTCATTGACTTCTGTTTGATTTCAGCTTTCGATTTGACTGGCTTTATCAAAGTGTCAATGTATTGTTCCTTCCATACTAAAGCTTCATTAGTCAGATTAATATCTGAGGGTGATCTTTCATTTAATGATCTGTGAGGTCTGTGGTTATAATCCCGGAGACGAGATCAAGGCCTTAATGACCGCATCCAGTGTTTTATTTTTAAGGGGCGTGTAAATACATTTATAGCTATGAGTAAGTATTTCACAACGTCATTGTCGGAGGCTATATCAGCAAAGTCAATATCCCATCGAGTATTGAGGCCTGAAGCCACCACTCTGTTCCGCTTGGGCTTGTATCTTAAAGGTCGCTGAAGCGAATAGGCATCTCGGTATGTCAACCACTTCTTTATGTGATGCAAACTAATATCAAATTTCCCCTCCTTTTTCGCAATGTGATACAACTTAGCAGGGCCAGAAAAGGAGGCTGGGTGTTTGGGATTCAAATAAATACTAGACAAATATGCTTTCCATCCGTCAGCAGGCATGGTTACACATTCAATGCCAAACGTACTTGTGTTTTTATGTTAACCCGTGTATACAGCTGACTGCCTTCATTGCATACCGTCTGGCGACGTGACCTAGTTCATCACTGTTTCCAGTAACAAAACAATTCTCCTTTACCTATGCAACTAATGTAAACATAAAATAACTGACAACATTGCTTCCTCACTATTTCAAAGGAATTTCATACATACTATTCTACAGATTTTGATACTTAAAAGGCCGATGTTTGAATGTGTAACCATTGATCTGTCTATAGCGTGACGTCATTTAGATTGTCATGCCTCCGTGCTTGGGGTCAGTGGGTGCGAGCCTGGGGCAGAACGCCCAATGTTCTTTCATCAAGGGAATACATTCCATCTGAAGAAGTGGCAGGGTTCAAGTACTATAGACCTTCTTAATACATCAGACACATATGATTTCAGTTCTTTCACCAGGATTGGTGTTGGGGAAGTAATCTGGATTGTCTCCTCAGCCTTATCTTCCTCTATGTCCATGTCCTCTTCAAACACAATCTCACTCCTCTTGTACATGTCACACTGTACAGCCACGGTCTTGGTCAGTGGTCTTGCCTGAATGCATCTTGTGAGTCTTCGGACGGGTAATGTCTGAATCCGTCTTGTGCGAAGATGTATTTTTGCCTTGGGAACTGCCACTGTCAATAAAACAAATATCAAAATCATATAACATAAATATACTAGGATAAACCAGGTCAGACCTATGGACATGATCTCTCGATGTTACTTATTACTATATTAGATATCCTTAATCATAAATCTCATTGTATCCCTTCCACTATTCAGGCTGTTACATGTCCATTCCATTGCGATAATTTCCTTGACCAACTGGACATGATGGCTTTGATTAACAGGATTATGTCAGCAGGGTTTTGTCCAATCAAAAGTATAGCATGTGGTTTCTTTCGCCAACCTTGATTTGTCTCCAGATATGTATACATGAGTATTTATCATAACAGAATGGCCTGAATTATTGGAAGAAGGTATCCCTCAATCAATCTATAGTATTTTCTGTCACATTTGTCTAAAATGATTATCCAAATATCACAATGAAAGCTCAAATAGTTACAATTACGGAATTAATTAATCAAATTTGATTCTGAGCAGAATCAATATATGAAATGTTAGAATAAATCACTTACATGACACCTGACACTCGAAATGGTGTTTTCCACTGCCAGACTCAACACAAGTTTGAACAGGCTCGAATGTTGACATATGTTGAATATCTGTACCTCCGGACTGTCCACAATCTTAAGTTGCTTTGAAACTATCATATGCTTCTTTCAGATCCTAAAACGGGAAAATAATTAATATAGATTTTATTTCACATTCTAGATCTAATTAATTTTACAAAATATAAATTATATAAATCGTAGACAATTATGACAATTCTGATTTTTTCTTAAACTGAGTAACCTTGCGACTAGTGTATGTAGGAGGAATGCCCAATCCCTCATGGGTGACAAGGCATACTGCCAAAACCTACGAGATGCGCGAAAACTGTGACATAATTACAGCTAAAAACAAAGTAGTCAAATCGATCTACATCCAACAACTCTGGTAAATGAAAACTGTGAGAGATACAAACGAGCATGTCATATCATACGACTCAATGTTGTGAATCAAGTTCATATCTACTTCACTCACTTCTAGGCCTATTTGTTCTAACCGTCGTCGCTTCTGAAAAAGCCCCCCTCTCGGTGAACGTGGCACTTTTGGTGATATTCTTGCTCGTGCCGTCGATAGCCAGGGGAATGTCCGGTGCGGCATGCTTAAAAAGCTTGGGTTTAGCTTTCGTGGAGCCATACTGTGCCATGAACTCGGGATCCCGTTCATAATTATTCTTCGAGAAATGCAAGGAGCACAACGTGCTGTGTTTGCTTATGTCTTTGAGTTTGACATCAGCACGTCGACAATACGCCAGCCACAGCTTTCTTCTTGGTAGATCGCGGGGAAATCCATGGAAATGAAGGCCTGAAGTATTCGTAGCACTCGAAGTGCACCCGAATGCGAGACAATACGGCATATTGTCACTACAACTTCATTCAAAATATAGCGCTTAGCGTCACTTTTCAGTCGACAGCCAAGCGTAAACACGAACGATCAACACATAGCGGACTGTCTGGTATGACGTCACAGCCACAGGAGGCTGACCGCTAAATAAAAAACTATGCATACGAGTGGGCGGAGCCAAAGTGTTCTAGGTTTTGGAGCATAATTATAACAATTGCGAATTATTTTCAAAAATCGACTATGCAGATTTGGTATAAATTCATGTTTGAATGGTATTCTGTAAGAAAAATGCTGTGTTCGTAGCCTTTTTAATAATCCTTTAACTCCCTTGCCTAGGGAAGATGTCATGTTTTATGCCTTTATTGTTACTGACGAAATGGAAGCGATCATGGAGACACACCTTGGTCTGGGACCGATACGTACATTGCCTGCTGATCAGGCTGGAGATGAAAACTGCACATCATCTGGTAACCCACAAATGACATTAGAAGATGACACAGACAACAGTGAAGAGAGGGGGTGGCTGACATGCCCCTTTCCCAGCTGACCAAGGAGGAGATGGGAATCACGAATGACCCCACTGTTTATTCAATCGATGCATTACACATAGACAATACAGACAGTCGTGGACGCCTCCTAAACATGACTTTCCTGGTGTTAAAACTGTCATTTCGGAAAGGTATTGTATAAGAAATATTGGACATTACTCAGAAACGGGAATGATCCATGCGTGATCCAGGATATATAGCAAGAAAATGTTAAACTCTGAGACAGAAGGATGGCATAATACAGTTGGCACAGGAGAGACATAATGCCCTACTGTGTTATTCCGAAAACGAAACCATGGATGCCTAGGACTGACAGGGGAGCGGTCGGGTAGCCTACTGGCGTTCGCTCGTCACGCTGAAGACCCGTTTTCGATTCCCGACATGGGTACAATGTGTGAAGCCCATTTGTGGTGTCCCCCGCCGTGATATTGCTGGAATATTGCTAAAAGCGGGGTAAAACCTTACTCACTAGCTCAATCACTCACTCACTCACTCACTCACTAAGACTGACAGGGAGGAGTATGTTGGACATCAGTGGTAGAATGTGTAGAACATTATTCTTTGGAAAGATTGAATGACTGATAACTGGTAGAGAATTTGTTTTATTTTGCTCATTTCTCACTCTGGCAGTTTGTCAACCCCTGAAACAATGCATGGTGAATAGTGCTTCAAACATCTCTAAAAGCCAGATAAGGAGACTTGTGTCCCCAGGTGATTAAAAATGTTGAAATATAAATATGTTCAAATATAAATATCCTTACTTGTGTAATCTTGGTGAATTTGGTGTAACGTTCTTTGAGAGAAAATTACCTTTGATAAGTTTGTTTGTTTGTTCGTTGTTTATCGCCGCACTAAGCAATATTCCAGGTATATGACGACGGTCTGTAAATAATCGAGCCTGGGCCAGACAATCCAGTGATTGACATCATGAGCAGCGATCTACGCAATTGGGATACGATGACATGCATCAACCAAGTCAGCGAGCCTGACCACCCGATCCCGTTAGTCGCCTCTTACGACAAGCATATTCGCCTTTTACGGCAAGCATGGGTTGCTAAAGACCCCGGATCTTCACGGGTACATTTGATAAGAAACTACTTTTGGAAAGAAATTTTCAGTCACTTATCGTGCTTGATACGAACATCTTTCAGTGGTTAAAGCGTTCACTCGTCACGCCGAAAACCCGGGTTCGATTCCTGACATGGGTACGATAT